CGCATAGCACACTTTGATACATCGTCATTGTCAAGTGCGCAGTATACAAAAGAAAGATAAAAAGCATAGTGGACGTTTTCCTGGTCATAACGGCTGGCTTAAGACAAGGTGAGCAGAATCTTTTCTGCGAAGTCGATATAAAATTCAAAAAGCGGAGGACTCCGTAAAAACAACTCTTTTTACGCATCAAATTCGGTCGTAATATCTTTGCTCATTAATTAAGGCGGGGTGTTGAAAGGACCGCAGGTTTGATACGTTGCTCCCACGATGCTTCCTTCCCTAAATTTCGCATTACGTCAGTTTCTCTTAGTGAGTCCGCATTACAACTATCAACGTTTCAGACTTGATTGCGTCCGGCTTTCCAAATCGTTGAACGATGCCACGCTGTAGCCTGTCAAGGTACAGACACGCCGCTTAGCTAGCAATGGGAAGAGATTCTGTCAACAGTACATAACAAGTACGTAAGTAGTAAGTAACAAGTATACATCCCAGCATCTCCAATCTCGGACATTGCTTAAAGGCAGCGTCCCACCAGACTGGAGGTACCTGGCTCTCGTAATGATGTAATAGTAGACCCCATACCTAAGCGATGACTGAAGTTCGGAGCGAAAAAGGGGTCTACCAAGCCTGAAATTTGCTTCGAAAGTGGGCCGAATCTTACGGTAGGCTCGGGCGAGTGCGAGGTGCATGCAAGGTAGAGACGCAAAGTCGTTGCGGGTCCCTGCGCTCATGTTGTGTGCGCTATACGCACTCTGGCTTTGCAAATTGATATTGCCGTGTGGGCGGCGTCCGGCCCTACCGTAAGATTCGGCCCACTTTCGGAGCAAATTTCAGGCTTGGTAGACCCCCTTTTTCGCTCCGAACTTCAGTCATCGCTTAGGTAGGGGTCTACTATCACATCATTACGACAGCCAGATACCCCCAGTCTGGTGATACACTGCTTTCAAGATATCTGTCTGTTTTCTACCTTTTCTTCGAAAAATTTTCTAAAATGCACGGCCCGTTGTCTCTTATAAAGGTAGTTCAATGTTTTAGGAAAATAATTAATGAAAACTTTTTGAAAGTTTTTCTTACCTAGAGTGCACTTGCAAAAAACGGTATGGAAAGTTTACCAATAATTTTCAAAGTTTCTTGATTTTTCTTGTTTAAAATTTTGAGAAAAGGCGCGAGAATATTAAAAAAATTAATGTATTAGTTTTCGATTCTCGACGCGAAATAGTCAAAGGAAAGTCTCAGTTGTAATTCTATACCTTTATCTATAAGAGCTTGTCTGACACAGTTCAAGAAATTGAGTCAAAATTACGAGGCTTTACTTGCGCACAGTTACTGCGAAAATATGTAGGGTATTTAGGACATATAAAAAGATTTTCCATGGAAATTTTGCTGATGCATTTTTTTGCGTTAATCTGACAAAAAATTCAATCGCATTACTCGTAACAACATTGAATAACGGCGTTAAACTTTTGATTATCCATCATTACAATAATAAAAACACAACGAGGGCGAAAGAGGGCACATTCGCATGCATTGACGGCCTTGTGTTCTCGTAAAAGATTCCGTAAACAGTAGCATGAAATTTCTTTTCCTTTTTTGGTTTGAAAGAAATGATTGAGCATCTTCTCATTACTGAATTTTGGAAAAAGATTCTGTAAACAGTAGCATGAAATTTTTTTCCCTTTTTTGGTATGAAAGAAATGATTGAGCATCTTCTCATTACTGAGTTTTGGAAAAAGATAAGTGTAGGCCAAAGCATGATTGTGGATGACCTCACTTCTTTCAAGAAACTTAAACGCAGTAACAGGTGTGCCATACTCAGATAATCTCCGGGGTAGGCGGGCTTTGAAAAATTCGCCTTGCTGACGTCTCGCACTCCGCTCGCAGTTTTCAAAAAAGGTTAGCGATTATTTTAAAGACCGCTTGCTAAATATTTTTGCGCTCTGACTTTTCGTGGATATATTACTAATTTTTTAACGAAGCAAGAAAGAAGCGGCATTGCAAAAAGTCGTAACCGCTTTCAAAATCAGCAAGCAAAACGCGAGAAATCAAACATCTATTTTTCCGGTTCCCGTCTATCCCCGGCAACTGTCTGCATCATAAAAGTGAGCCAAGCAGTAGAAGTGTAGCTCATTTAACAAAGAGCCAGGGCCTTAGTGATTAGGTCATGATGATGTGTATCTTAATAAACAAGAACTTTATTTCCTTTAAATCTATCCCTTAACTTCAACTTGATTTTTGCCACTCTCAAAAATCATCGGCGAATACGCAGTTCCCTCAAACTATAATAATCTTCACGAACGTGACGTACGAGTCTGCAACATAAGCTTGAGCTCAGCTTCATACCATGGACCATTATTCGCCGGCTAGGTTTCAACACGTTCACGTGATCGCGTCAACCACAATACGCGACTTAAGCTGGTGCTAAAGTTGTGGTCTCACAAGGGAAGGATACTCGGTGTTTGTGGCCTTTTGAGATGAGATCTATGCCATTCACTCGTTTTGAAAGCTGACGTTCCTTTGGGAGAAGTTAGAGGAGTTTTCACAGCAAGTTTGTCCGTTCATGGGAAACACGATAGGAGAGCAAATAGTGCACGTACGTTGTGGTAGTGATTAGTGCTTGACCTCATGATATAATGAAGGATGTGAGTTCAATTTTTTTTGCGTCTTTTAGTTTTGCATTGCCTCAACCAATTTCTCTTACCAATTTTACCATTATTTTCGGACAAAACATTTTGCAATTAGAGGTAGTTCACTGCTGTTCGCTATTTCGCTCACGCATACACAGTGCTCATTAGACGTTCATATGTATCGTCCCCTCCACAGTTGTTGCTACCCCTGGTCTGGTCTCACAAGGGTCTCTCATTTCTCTGAAAGAAGTCATGAAGGATTTTCGCGTCAATGGTCACCTAAGAGAAATAGGTCGAGGATGCCTAATTTTTAGAAAAAAGCTTGATTGACGCCATGCAAAACTGAAAACACATAAAGACTCAAACCTAAACCTGCATTAACTTGTGAGCCTATCACACTAGTCACTACACCGCATCGTAGAGGCGGTTTCGACATTCCGACTATATTTTCCTTAGCGCAAAAACCCTTCATAACTTTTTTCAGAAAAACGATTAGCAAAAATGAGAGTTAGATTCAGAATCAGCACTCCAAGACGAGTGTAATGGTGTACATCTCATCTCAAAAGGCCACGGATACAAAGTATCGTTCCCTTGTCAGACCTGCCATGTGTGGCTAACATGTTGGCCGCTGGCATAAACATGTTTGCAACATGCCACAACCTGTTGGCAGAACATTTTGGCCACGCAGAACATGCTGCATGTTGCAAACATATTGCTTATACGTTGCCAACATGTTAGCCACACGTGGTAAGTGTGAGACCAAGGGTAGCAGCAACTGTGGAAGGAAGGATACTGTTGCTGCAATTTTTCATTACCTAGGAATTGAGGCTCCCAGATTCGTGTGGAGGTGTATTGCAGACTTTGCCTGATAACAAAGTAAACTTACTAAACCTCCACGTCATAGCATTGCTTTTCGTACTCTCTCACTAGCAAAAACAGCCACGCAGTGAGTTGGCAAGACTCCACCTCCACACGAATCTGGAAGCCGATGATACATTTTTTACCGAAGTGATGCCGTGCTGTTCTTACACTAATGGGTATAATACAAACCCTTAAAAGTACAATCGTAGATTTTCAGCTCCATAAGCTCTGGTTTCCAAGAAATTTTGAGTTAAGCGTGAGAACAACAAGTAAAGAAAACTAAATTTGATATTTCTCGGGAACTAGAGCTTATGTAGAGCTGAAAATTTACGGTTGTACTGCTAAGGGTTTGTAGTATACAACTGCTATTGAGAAGACAGCACAACATCACTTCGGTGAACTGTAAATCTTCGTTCTCTCAAAATTTAGCCAACAGAAAAAATAAGCAAGAGTACATATGAGCGTCTGATGTGCGGTCGTGAGCGAGTGAGAGATTGGTAGGAGTTTTTTGAACGAAGATATAAAAATTTTTTAACTTTCTGGGTACCAGAAACTTTTTGGATTCTGGTTTCAAACTTGAGGTGAATAGAACATACTGCAAAAGCACACTCATCTTATAAGGATTGCTTTGCTCTATCGAATGTTGTTCTAATGTCTATTCAGTATGAGATGTGTATGACTTATCACAGCGGAAACTCAAAATGAAAAGACTTATGGGACAAGCTCATATGTTTCTGAAGTATACGTCAAAGCAGGAAGAACCGTCGAGTTGAAGAGGTGGGAGCAGAGCTTCATGTTCTTGGTCGTCTTCACTACGTCCTCATCGTCTTGTATGCTCTTTATGCCGCTAGTTTCCTTCTGCTCAGGTTCGGATTCAGCGTCTATCAAGTTAACTTCCCATCCGTAGGTGCAGCTTGAGCGTTCGGTGACTTCGTTCCGTTCATGTAACGGAGCACCAAGCGCTCCCGTTCGTCATAAACATCGTCCTCGCTGGATTTAGTTGCATACCGATCTTTCCATATACGTCGTCAAACTGGGCCAATTCACCTATTTTGTGAAGAAATATGCACGCTTGATTTTTTGATCTTATCATTAGATTCCACACAACTATCGATGAAAAATCCTATAACGCTCTAGCCAAAAACAAGGAACGGACAATCTTTCAACAAGTCGCAATTCTCACTAAGAACTTCACGGCCTTCAAACAATTCACGTACACTAAGTTGCAACATTCGTTCTTTGTCTAATTTGTTGATCTAAACTTTAGGCGGAGGCATATAAGTAAAAATATCGAAGACTTGTTGAACAATTTCAAATAATCAAACGGAGGCGATCCTCCCTGCTTTCCTAATTGTTTACTCTACAATCTACTCATGCTTACTATTTCCAAATGCTATTGAAAGCAACCTCATCTTATTATCTTGTCTCGCTTATGAAGAAAATATGCATTGATCGATAATTTTGCAGTGTATCAAAGGGTACTGAAGAGCTTTTTGGTTGAAAGAGATCTCAACAATGAGCAGGATGAATTCTGTAAGTAGCTTTGGCTTTTTCTCCACACACAAAGTTACGGTGTTTCAGTCAGATTCAATTCGCAAAAGAAACATATTGCACGTTTTGAGTTGCACTCTCTTATTTTACAGACAATTCACCATTAAGTCACATGTTTCGCGGAATAATACGCTTGTTCTGAAGATATTCAAGTGTATCTGAATTGTCCTCTACCATCGCAATGGCCGCACTAACTGCACTGACTGCATTGACCCCGATGGCCGCAGCACAAAAATGCAGCAATGATTTCACAAACTGCTGTTGCCAGTTTTTTTCAATAATCAAAACCAATCCTTATACATGAGTTAAACTATGTTCAAGCTTGCTAGAGCAACGTGCATGCGGTTTTTGACTCCCAATTGGAGAGGTTGGCTTGTTGCCTTGAGTTATGAGAAGATATAGGGCATAAAGATGTCCAAGGCTAGCCGATACCTGCAGTGCGTTTAACAGGGCCAGCGCCGCTGGTGTCACACACCTGCGCGCAAGCGCTATCGTGGACTGCAGCGTGCAGGGACCATGCAGCGCGAAGCGACGTTGTCCTTGTTTTAGCTACTCTTCCTGCTTCATTCTTAGCCTCGCTGTCCTGCTTCCAAATTTCTGGGCTTTTAATGTGTGGAATGTGTCTACTTCGGTACTTCCTGAGATCTCTCAAAATATCACCGCGAGAATGGAAGACCAGGAAGTCGAGGCTCTCAAAGAAGATGTAATCTAAATCATTTCATCTAAGAGCGGCAAATGCTCTTCCTCCTTACCTAAGGGAGCCTCCAGACCGCGCCGGGACCGCGCCGGTTGTCGCTTTTGCAGCCGGTAGCTGCTTTCGCGCCGGTTGCCGCTATTGCAGCCAAAGCGCATCGGGTCAAATCTTGTCCGTGAGGCGCGTAGGATTGACTTATAAGCACTAACGGGATGCTCGCAGCTTTTTTTGTCCTTTTATCCCTGTTCCTTTGCTCTTCTCCTCTATGTTGTTGTGTAAGCAGCTCCTTTGTAAATATAATTTATTTGACTAGGCTTCCGTTCTTGTTTCTGTTATACTATGCTGCGTGATGTGATTTGTTATCAAAGGAGGTTTCCTTTTGGTCGATCTTTCTCTACGAAGCTGCAGCTAGCTGATATCAACGAGTTATTCACAAACTCGTTCTTCTAGCAATCGTTGCTTTGTGTTCAGATCCATGCAAAGGTGTTTTGTTACCCTTCCGCTCAATTTGCAGTACACCATCCCATCTACAACAACATGAATGCTTGATTTAGGGAAATGCCCGTTAAATTTCGCGAGACTCTCGCCTCTCTTGTGGAAGACGAGCCATGTCTCTGGGATCGCACCCGCGATGATTATCACATGAGAGACATCCTCATCACAGCGGTATATCCTCACAACTAGACTGATGCTATGTGTGTAAACGGGTTGTGCATTAAAAGCTCTAACAGCCTCTACAATAGGAAATCTCGAAATCTGAGAAAAGGCAGAATTTCGGATGTGCAAATAAAAATAAAAAGACACTCACCACCAATGCGCGATACTATGTTGCCGTGCAGATCGCTGTAGAAGTGAATAATCAGCGGCTGCCCATAATCTTTCGATAAACTTCCAAAATCAGGCATACGGCAGCGGTTGTCGATTGGGTTCCATGGAAATTCCCTAAGATTGCAAATGTCCATGAAAAAAGCAAACAAATCACTATTTCTGACGAAGAATAGCTGGAAAAGAGCCAATAAACCCTGCAAATATCGCGTTGGTGCAAACGCTCCTCCCCATTACGTGCTTCACGGACAAAATCTGACCCGATGCGCTTTGGCTGCAATAGCGGCAACCGGCGCGAAAGCAGCTACCGGCTGCAAACGGCGCGGTCCCGGCGCGGTCTGGAGGCTCCCTAAAGGTGAATATGTTGATTGTGATTGTATATCATACAGGTTGAAAGAACAGTTTGAGTGAACAGCGTGTTGGCGCTGTTCACCCAAACCTAAACGATATACGATCATGCTTGTCGAAACACGAGTCAATGTAATGAATCATGACATTGGAATCAGATCCGAAGAAGGCCTGGATGAAATGAGGGATGTCATGAGCAAAACGCTGAAAAATTTGAAACCTTCTTTCTATTGCAAAGACAATCATATCCCGTATCAAGACAGATCGCATGTGAGCATAGAAGCAAGAAAAATGGCAAACCGCTTCTACAAAGACGGAAAATCACAAGTTACAATGATAAAAGCAAGCCCGCGATGTTGTGCGCAGCATGGTCCCTGCACTCTGCGCGTACATAACGCTCGCAAGTAAATGTGACTGAACTACGCGGCGCTGGCCTCGTTAAACGCATTGTAAGTGTACGGGAATAAAATAGTGCAAAATTGTAGAGCATGGAAATTTTTGGAAATACTGCAGATTTCAAACGCTAGCAGCTTTGAAGACACAATGACTTCAACAAATGAGGACCTACTAGGGTAACACCACTGACGTGCTCATAGTTAGATGAAAACCTTCAGAATGTTTTCACCACATAAGGGAGTGCCAATTTTAAAAGAAAATTTTATACAAAAATTATACACATTTTATATATAAAGCTAAATGTCTGCTATGTCTGTGTGTTTGCGTGTCGATTTCATCGATTTTTTGCAAGGTTTGACCTACGTGCTGGAAATTGGCACAGGGTGAAGATAGGTAATCGAGAATGCCGATTACTAACACAGCGGAAATAAAGAATTGGCATGTAGATGTGGGCACAAGGGAACTTTGTACAGGGAATAGGGATGAGATCTTTATCACAGTGTTTTGACAGGGCTGGGCGGAGCCGAGTAAGCCAGCTAATCTGAAAATGTTGCCGTCTATGAATGAATACTGCTCCAATAGATAACGAAGAGCTTGCAGCAGCAATCCATTGAACTCACTCCCCATTCCAATGCAGCGGCTGCTGCGGTTGCGGCGGTCAATGCAGTCTCTTGATTCCATATGGGATTTCTCATTTGGACAAGAACGGAACGATGCTTTGTACTAAATGCAAAAAGAGGTACCTAACCACTTAAACAAAGTTTATTATGTATGAAAATGACCATTTCACTTGGATGGTTCAATTTCTATACCTGTTTTAAGGTGGTTATATTTGATATGCTAATTACAAATAAACCACTATCATGCTAGTAGGACCTCATGTTATGCCTACGAATGGCCGATAGTGTGGGGAGGGGCAGGGGGAGGAGCATCCGGGTGGTCGTATTCGCACTCGGCTTTGGTTATGTGCAAGCGAGTCGCTTCCACCTGTAAATGGCTAAAAGACTCTTTATATACCTGAACTCTATTAGCTTTCTACAGAATTTTTTCGAGGTTGTAGGACTATTAAAGAACTAGAAAGTTCCCCAAGGAAGGCGCAACTAAGGCCACGTCCTTCCAATTAACCGTCGCGACCAAAATTCGGGTCACCACTGAGTAGTAATGACAGTTGACTAAACTCATATCCTTGTAAAACATTCCCGTTCTCTTGAAGAAGAATGAAGGAGAGAAGACGGAGCTTGCGAAAGCAGCCTACTAAATAAAGAATTAGCAAGTGCCAAATGTGGTCTTTTCTCAATCGAGCGCACCTTCACCCACTTCATCCAGTTCAAAATAAAAGACGGAATCACTGAATGTCATCTGGCTAACAAAGTGTAAGTGGATAAAGTGGAGCTGTGGCTTGGTACTTGCCTCCATGTTTAGCGGAGACAGCGTTTTTGGATATTCTATTCTAAAAGGCACTGCAGTAGGAAAAAAAAGAATGTCACTCGTTTTGAGTTTTTTTTCTACTGAAAATCATTCTCGGGAATTAGAACTTTACAAGGCCAAAATTTTATGTTCAAATATCCGAGGTTCTAGTAACTGCATATAAGGGAGGGACTTAGGACTGCTAGGGATAGAGATTGCCATTTTTCGTTTTCTTTTTCCTCGCCTAACAAAAAAATTTGGCAAGTGCTTTCTGATATAGATGAGTGCATCATCTCCTATATGCAGAAGAAGTGAAAAACTGTTGAGACCTTTTTAGGTAAAGATACGATTTCTGGTGTAATTTGTTCGAGAATTTTTGCTCCAAACTTTGCGTAAATCTCGACTTTTGCTAATGTCTAAAAATTATTTTGTAAATTTTGCTTCGCTCTATCGGATGGTACTCCTCGTACAATTTTGAAGTTCGTTTTGTAGCTTTACCATAAAACTCGTCATCCAAACTTGCGCGATCCCTTTACAACGCTGCAACGCAAATTTCGTGCAACTGATAATGTGCACTTTCAAGTAAATAAAATCTACACAAAAGTGATGCAATAATGTTTAATAGCTCTCAGTTTTGTGATCGTCTTACTAGAATCGAAGTTTTTTTCATCATTGACAGAATGAACTTTTTGTGACAGCTCAAACTCAATGCAAGAAAGCTTTGATAGCTGAGTGGCTTCCTACTAAAAACGCAATCATGAAACGTTTTCTTCAATTATTCGAAAATATAATCAACACCAAAGCTTCCGAAATGTATCTGCGCTAGACTATCTCACCATTTCAACAAATTACTTTTAGGGCTTCGTCATCTTTCTGGTTCTACTGATAGGTGAGCATAACCATATTCAAGGCTGAGTACTTTTCCATTGTGCGGACCCATTTCTTCAAAAAATTCTGTAACATACGTGCTTTAGTCTAGATTTTCCATAGATCTCATAAGGAGTGATTGCCTGGCACGTATCATGGAAAGATTAACACGCGTCGCTTCGATATAATTTGTTTTTCTAAAATCATTTCCGGTGAGATACTAGAACATTTGAGATCACTCTCAAAAGCTGGTCAGCTTTTATATAAGCAGAAAAATTTTGAATTTTCCCAAGTGCACCTCGCTGCCGCTTGTTTCGTCTTTAGATAATGGAACCTTAGCCAGGGCCCGGCACGAGGTGACCAAATGGGATTTTCAAAAACGAATTCCCCTTTGATCCCAAATTATTTTACGAATACCCCTTGAGCCCAAAAACGATGCTTTGTGCTTGTGCAACGAGAGCACCGGAAAAAGCGCTCAAAAGCGCTCAAAATCTTTTGATTATTCCTCAACCTTTATTAAGATAGCAAATAGGAACAAGAAAGCAAGAAAAATGATGAAGGAATGAAAGAAAAGCAAAGTAATGCAGTTATATTACTGCGAGATGCTGTCGATCGATTGACTGGAGCGCGCTTTCCTCCTAGAATGCAGGGCTGCTGATGCGATTTTGGGCTCTAACAAAGACAAGATGAGGAGTTTCGGAACCAAAATCCTACCATATAGTAAACGTTAGGTGTACAACATATTCATGTGAAAATTTTGAAAAACTTATGTGAATTGAAAGTTTTGCCTACCTCAGGTGGGCATTAGGTGGGCAATTGCCTCTTCATTCACATAAGTTTTTCATAATATTTTATACTTTGTTTCTACTAGCCTCTCTTCGTTCGCTCAAGTAATTTGGTGCTATATCGTTAAGCCTGCATTGAGAACCGATCACCTAATCATGCTGCTCAACGGCATCGCTTATGCGACGTCGCGCATGCGGCAATTAGCGGTGGCGCGGCGTAGCTCGCGCGAACTCTATTGTGCATTGAGGCTTATGAAAACTGCTTCCCAGTGAATTAAATACCAGTGCTTCACCTCTGCTTCGCAGAGGCTCGCACTGGCCCTACTATCTGTATACCTTACTCATTCTGCACAATAATGATATTGGAACTCACCGCCGTATGCAGACTATCACGAATGATTTGTAAAAAACTATTTATTCCAAAAGCTTTTCCATATGAGATCGGTAATTTCGCATGAACGAAACTTTTCTCGAAAGAACAAATGCAGATTTGAGTCGGTTTTTGGACTTTTCATGGCTTGATATTCGCGTTAAGACGCCATAATCACCGTGGCCTACATATCTGTGCAAAAATCTTCTCAAACCATCGGGTAAAATCTTGGCAAATTGAACATTTACGCAACCAATTCTTTTTGGCGCCGTTTTCGCAAAGCAATAAACTTTAGTTCAATTTTTTAGGCTAAAGACCATGACTTGCACATTCGCATGTCAAAAATATCCTTAAATTTGCAAAAAGTTGCGCAACAGACTCAATTTCACTGGCCAAAAGCCAAGTGGATCCGGTTGACGCGCATTTTTTGAGGGATTCACACAATGGATCCGCTCATGCTTTTGTATAGTAGACTCTCATGTTGGTAGCAGGCGCTGTGCAAAAAATCAGCTCAAAACCTTCGTTGGAACTCGCTCCACGAATTTCGTGACAGACAGAGATTCAGACAGACAGACAGACAGACAAACGTAAACAACCCTTTGCCCGTTATTATAAGTTATGATATATATGAGGTAATGAGCATGATTCGACCTTCTTTTGCTTGCATTTGGAATCTTCTTCCGGGGCTCCGTCCTGGATCCCGCGAAAACAATTTCCCCCTTGCTTTTTCCACCAAAAACGATTTCCAGCTTGTCATTCGCCCACCTCGTGCCGGGCCCTGACCATAGCACATTTCTCTCCGGGCAAATCTTGTATATTTATTGAAAAGGTGGCATTTTTAGAGTTTTAATGTTGATTCCCGTAATTATTACTTGAATATCACTAGTAATTAGAAATACAGATTGAACTTACGTTGGTAGGTAGGCAACACGTAAAACCTGCTTAACATGTAGATGACCCGTCTTACATGTGACAGGAGGTTAACACTCCTTTCTGTGTTGAGAGCATACAAGTTGCCAGAAAAGATTGGTTTTCCATTGGGTTCGGACAACGGAGAAGTAACGAAAATTAGTTATGTCAAAACCTATCTTTTTATTTACAGCATGTGCTTGGGCACGCTTGGACACTAAGGTTAGTGTGGGGAAGCATCGTATAAAACTCAACTCAAACTTCTTGATTGCATGTATTGCTTTAGTTTCGCAGGCCAATAAGGAACACAGGGACTGCCAAAAATAAGCACAGGTAGGCTTTTATTACCTTAAAGGAGTGAAAAAAGTATGAAAAATGTAACAACTCGTTTGAAACTGTACCTTATGCAACGTGCGCGTCAGTTTTTGAGATTCACGTTAAAGAGCATTCCAGTTGCCATAATCAGAACAATGAAATAGCATGGTTGATGAGCGTGCATGGCTGCTCGAAGCTTCTGTTTATGCTCATGCTTGAAACCCAAAAAGCAGGGTCTTCATGTACATATAGTAAAAAGATATAATAAAAAGATGATATAGTCCCTTGCGGTGACGACAGTACTATTCGATGTATCCTATATTTGTAAGTGCCGACAGCCCCCATAAGAGAAGGGTCAGAAGTCGCTGTGGCCACTCCAAACAGGTTGCTATCATTGGACTCAGTTTAGAAATAAAGCCAACATATTTTCTTTATCTGCTAAACTCCTTTGTGGACGAAGCTATGAGCCATCATGCTGCAAAGAAATTACGCATTGAAGGTGCAAAGACATAAAACACACATTTGGTTTGATGCTGAGCCAAAACATGCAGGGCTATTTTGTATAGTTTATACACAAAGGTGAGCTAAAAACACAAGACTTGTCTAGTTCCGTGCAATGTTTTACTCTACTTATTGATGCACTATTCATGAACAGTGCGTCAGATCAAAGACACGCAATGAAACGAACATGTGACATGCTCAATATTCTAGAGAAATAGAAGGAAGTAAATCTCTCTTAAAGGCAGTGTCTATGCAAATCCGGGCATATGAGTTTTTTGCCTGAAACTGTCGAGGAGGCTCTAGCTAAGGTACTGCCTACACCGCAACGCAAATAATTCATTCACGGCTGAGAAATCCATCCACAAACACCCCGCAGCTGCACCGTGACCGTAACACTTAAGATTGGTCTCAGTGCGAACGTAGTGTTTAAGTGAGCGAAGTCGTTTTTAGGTTACGGTCACGGCGCAGTCGCAGGATTTTCGGGGATGGATTTCTCAGCCGTGAATGAATTTTTCTGAGCTGGTGCCTTAATTAGGACCCCCTATCAATTTTCAGGCAAAAAAGCCAAGCGACCAAATTTGCCTGGACCTTGCCTTCAAACTAGACGCTTTATCATTTTGTATACACGTTTTTTGCAATAAGCTCGATTGCCCACCAAGGCACGCACCCAATGTTGAGCAATGTTGAGTTTGTTTGGATCAACCACTTCGATTCGGATCATTTCCATGTAAGTAAAATGCCGAAAAAGCGTTATTTGAAAGCGTCAAAGCAGTGCAGGAAAACCTTTAGCAACATGAGAACTATAAACCAAATATAACCGCAGATTTCTATTTTTCCTTTGACAGTTTTCACTGAGTTCACTCTTCTTTAGACCGCTTTCATTGCTAATCAAAGGAAGTAAGTTGGCAATTTCTGCACCTTAATGATTGCTTAACAAGGGTTATCTGACGTGAATCCCAAGAATCACTTTGGAGAGCGCGCAGAAACGAAAAGAAATATCCCCAAAGCCCTTCAGGTCAAACTTAGAAATGTACAGTTCCTTGCAATGGCTGGAAGGGCAAAGTCGTCGCGGGCATTCATGATTATAGCACTGCAGCATGCGCTTGTAATAGTGCAAGCATCAAAACCATTTTGTGTAAACCGGCACAAATTTGTCGGCAACGTGGCAGTGCTGTAAGATCGAACTTGCTTTATTTTCATAATCTGAGATAAACGATCTAGCACACCAAAAATCCAAAAAGTTCGGTTTTAACTTGTCATTGCCTTCAACTTGATGCACATTAAATAGCATTGTGTAAAAGGATCTAGCTTTGCAGTCGGTGATTTCGATCATAAATACAGGGCTCATAAAATGATTGTCGCTTGCCCCAGCAGCTCTACTTCCACACTGAACTCTGCGTCTCGTCCGCGAACATGGTTTCTGAGTACTTTTCCAGGCCAAGCATAGGAAAGGCGTAGCCTCAAATGATTAGAAGGGATTAAGGAGCATGTTCCGGAAAGAGACGCAGGGTCCAGCGCGGGAGTGGAGATGCTGAGGCAAGCGACACTTCATTTGATAAGCCCTGTAGATAGTATTGTCATTAGCATCCTCATCATGATATATCTTTAAATGGCTTTTGCATTCCGACTTTCAAAATTGAACTCAAAAGATTGTTTATGGTCGAGTATTTTGATTATCGGGTAAGACAACAACCAACATTTTCAGACGTCCAGCTCCTGTAATACAATGTACAGTAGACGCCGGCTGCCCTTCATATCCACAGGCGATCTGTGTTGATTCGCTCTGCATCAGACTAGGACAAAGCTGTCGTGTAGGCACTGACTGTCCTCTATTCCCTACCACACTCTGCGTAGAAAACCGCTGTATTAGACTAAATCAGCCATGCGCCAGGGATGATGACTGCCCAATGTCACCAAAGGTATACTGTGTACAAAACCGCTGCTCAGTGCTTGGACAACAATGTAGTACGGACGCACAATGTCCTTTCTACCCTTTGACAAGCTGTGTGAATGCACAATGCGTGAAGCTTGGCCAGTACTGCAGACTTGATGCGGACTGCCCATTAAGACCACATACTGTCTGTCACAATCATAAGTGCACCAAACTTAAAACTCCATGTGAGACCCATAGCGACTGCCCAAGATCGCGTGATATTTTCTGCGTGGATAAACGTTGCGTTGCACTAGGCCAAGCCTGCAGGACGGATAGCCAGTGTCCATATGCACCACGCACTTCATGTGTTGAATTCAAATGCACGTTATTGGAACAGCAATGCTTGGTGGATGCCGACTGCCATCTTTATCCCAAAGTAGTCTGCGTTCATTCCAAGTGCATAAAATTGGGCCAATTTTGCAGGTCAGACAGGGATTGCTACAACTCTACGAACGTCATGTGTGTAAATAATGAATGCAAACGATTTGATAGTAAGTGCAAATTAGATACAGATTGTCAATACTATCCGCAGACAGTGTGCGTGAATCGACAGTGCATGAAGATGGGCAGACAATGTTCTGCCGATGCAGACTGTCCTGGCTCTGAAACGCAGTGCGTAAGCAAAAGATGCGTGAAATTAGGACAGCTTTGTAAAAGTAATTTGGACTGCCCAGCCTTGACAGGATTTACATGCTATGAGGGTAAATGTCTACAACTTGGTGGGAGATGTACAAGAGACGACCAATGCTCTGATAGGATGAGCTGTGTTCGAAATCAGTGCATTCGGCTTGGTCAAGCCTGCAGTTCAAGTAGTGACTGTCCCTTCAGCACGACATGCATTTCCGGTACATGCAGGAAGAATGATAATCAAGAAGAAACTACAACTGCTGCAAGTACAACTGCTGCGTTACATGCTCCAACTCTTACCTCAACAACGGCTAGCACTTATAGAGCTCCTTTACACACTACAATTGCTCCTTTACAAGGTGAGTACATTCTTCAAAGCGTATCCGACTATCTCAAAAACTTTTATGACATTTGAAAGAGCATTCCCTTCAGTTTCTTGAGAATGCCTTAGGTTTTGTAAATCTTTTCCTTCCCTCCAGAGCTATGAGCCTTCAAATTCAGTAGACTAAATTCCAAAATTTTTCCTTCCGCTGCCTTTGCTCTAAATCCGCAAGTAACCATTGAACGTATTTGAAAAATGTGCATAACGATTGCGAAACCCTGTGCTATAAAATGCTTTTTTAGATGAGATTATTGAAAGAATTTGAATTGAGGAATTTTATTACAAACTTGGGTGGTCGTTGAAAGCATTCTTTGCCTTGTAAGACTCGTAAGCAAAACGACTTCAAACCTTCCGCACCATACAGGAAGTGTAAACCCAGCATATTTAGTGGTACAAATTCTCTACGGTTTTCTCACTTTTTATCGGTGAATTGAAGATTTGAAAAGGCAATTTCTTGAACCCGCCGCGATGCCCAAAAAAGTACTTTCGAACTTTCTGCAATATTTCTTTGTGAAAAAAAAACCCGTAAAATCTGAGTTTGGCACTAGTGCATACCCAACCATTAGTTAGCTACACAACGAGCAAAGTGCTCGTTACCCTACTATCTCGAAGTGAGTTATGTCTCTCAAACTAGAAGTTTTCAGAAAAAATTTTTCCAATCTTCATACTAGACAATCTTTCCTGTTATACTTGCAGTCCCCAAAAATGTAGATTGTAGAATCAAACGTTCGCCTTTTACGCTACCTCACGGTAGGTCTTTAACGCGCTCAGAAAGAGCGTTTCAAAAAAGAGTTATTTTGATTCAAAATCCCTTCCATTTACCAAGACTTTCAGCTATGTGCAGATTAACTGTGGACGAAAGAAACAAGATCTTGGAGCTACACAATACTTACAGGTGAGCAGCTACGTTACATAAGTTGATTAACGAATCAGAATAATTATTTGGAAATTTGAGCTCAATTACGAACTTACTAAATAGCAAGTTTGCATTATCAGTGAGGCAATGGTAAACCGAAGATAGGGCTGGGGGACCCTCAGGAAAATGGGAATTTCTCAGCTTACTTATATGATGTACAAAAATGTGCAAGTAACTGTGTACACTTGTAAATAAATGGAAAATTTCTAAAATTCTTTAAAATTTCAATTTAGCTTTGTAGATAATGTTTTTCGGGCGCGAGGCTGACGCCACGTGTGTTAATTGCCAACGTCTTGTTTTCCAAATAATAACAGGATATCTAATTTATGGTTTCGTGTCCAAGTTTAGCAACTTTTGCGAGACTTTTATTCAATACCTTCAAAAGAGCTTTGACAATAATGGATAGAATAAACGAAGTGCAATACAATGAGTTATTTAGATGTCCTCAACTTGCTTTTCAGTATTTTTTTTAAATAAAGCTTTTATAGCTTCGGCCCTGACTATGTACTGCGCCCAAGCCATCCCAAGCTTCTTCTTCCCCACCTAGCTAAATCTTCTGATTCTAAAAGACTCCGTTTTTCGGTTCCTTGATCTTTCCTTCCGTATTTGCCATATATTTTTCGTGTAACCTATGATGTCAACTGTAATTATATGTTGAAGATGATAATTTAAAGTGCTATGAGAAAACGAGAGACCCCCAATAAGGACTTGTCTTTTCTAGATGAGTAGGAAGTAGAAAGAAAAATGAAAATTCATAAAACTGCTGAGTTCACATAGATTTCAGGGCACAGCTTGCACAGGGTAACATAGAAAGCGGAGGAAAAAGTTTACCATCAGCCACCTCAATGTTTGATCTGGTAATCCTTCACTTTGGTATAATTAGAATCATTCTATAGCGCTCATCACAGAAATGGGATTGCAAGTTGGAAAGCGAAGCCTATGAACATGCAGTAGGATGTTCGCTGAAAGCATCGGATCCAAACACACGTCCTGGTGTTGGAGAAAACATCTTCACTGCCAGAGATATAGGACTCAGTCATACACAAATTGCAGATTTGGTAAGACGCATGCAGACCTCGTATTTTCGTTTTGGAAAAGTTTTTGAATGTTTAATTCATGTTTTCAAATTCTCGCTCTCTTTACTTCTCGCACTTTCATTCCAAAAGCAGTCTGCTCAACGTACTTTGGGATGATGAGGTTTTAATGCTTCATAATAGTGAGCTCCCATGCTAAGCAAATGGCAAAAGGGACTGCGAAAGACTGCTTTCAAAGCGAGAAAAACACTGCGAAAAAGGGTTTTGGTGTTTGTCACTCAGCCCCTGTATCCATTTCGCACCTCTCGCCCGTCAGATAGACTCCTAGAAAACAAGGTTTTCAGTTTCGTGCTGTTTCATCAGCACCTTGAGGTTAGTGCCATAAAAAAGAGGCGGAAGTGATAGAAATTTTGAAGAGAAAGGTTTGGTTAGACGTTGCCTTCAATCTATCAGGTTTTCAAAGAGAGATGCAAGTATACGAAGGAATTTGAAAGCACTACGTGCCACTTAGTAGTAAGGCAAGCAAAAAATTAAAAAAATCCAATTGTTGTCTTTTGTCCACATTTTACTTCGAAACAAATGTGACCTTTCAGGCAACACAAGTTTGGTGGACAGTGCCCAAGAGATATCACATCGATAGTACCCAATACACTCCAGTGGACACTATATTTTCCCAATGGAGCCAAGTCAGCACGTTTTGTTTTTCCACAATTTTCAAATCAGCCAGTGTTTAGGCAGTATGGGAGACGACGACTAAAGTTGGTTGTTACTCGGCAAAGTGCAACGAAAATTTTCTTGTGTGCCGTTATAAACAAAGGTGTTACACATTTTACTTCTTAACAAACTCATAATTTTACTTCAGAGGAAATGAGCCTGGTCACTATATCTACCGTCAAGGTCCAGTATGCAAAGCATGCAAGTATACTTGCATTCTTAATCAAGCTTCTAAGCATTACGGATTGTGCATCACCCCCGACTAATCAGCCTGGACAAATTTCAACGAACATTTGTTTACTATGGGAACAGTGATAAATCTAAATTTATCCTTAACTTTCAATGAATGTTAAATGTGTGAATAACCAATTCGAGCAATCCTTTGTATAGCGGTAATCGCCGTTTTCATACCAAAACTCGTAAAGTTTCAAAAATGGCCAAAAAGAGCTATAGAACTGCAAATTTAATATAGAGAGGCTTGCAGAGAGTATAGAATTTTTCGTTAGACACAGAATGTGTTTGCTCAAATTGAGGTGTTTTTTCTCACCGGAACATCCGCTTTGGCAGTATTGGTGGTATGCAAGGGTGAACGATGGCTGGCTATAATCATACTGTACGTCTGCTGTTGTTGATACGCCGTAAACATTTCGGTTTTCTTAAAGGCACTATACCACCAGATTGGGGGGGGGGGGGTGCCTGGCTCGGTATTAATGTAATAGTTGACCCCCTAACTAAGCGCGACAGAAGTTTGCAGCGCGAAAGGGGGTCTATGAAGTCTACAAATCGCCCACAAGTGGCCCGCATCTTACGGTAGGCTCGGGCGAGCACGAGATGCATGCAAGGTAGAGACGCAGAGTCGTTGTGGGACCCTGCACTCATAACTGTGTGCGCTATGCCTGCTTTGGCCTTGCAGTTCGAAACTGAGCTGTGGGCGGCGTTCGGTCTACCTAAGATTTGGGCCACGGGGGGGGGGGCAATTTGTAAACTTCGTAGATTCCTTTCGCGCTGCTAACTTCTGTCGTCGCTTAGTTAGGGAGTCTATTATTACATTAATACCAATCCAGGTATCCCCCCCCCCACACACACAATCTGGCGGGTCGCTGCCTTTAATGCAGTAAGCATTTCGCAAATAAGGCAGAATCGAAAAGTAACAGACAGGGACGGAGCTCTTAATGTTTTATCTCTCTAGACATAAAGTACCTTAGTTACTTCGAAGAAAACACGATCTATGCAACGCACGCAGTTAGCACAACTTATTTTTTATGTTGGCGCCTTTCGCAGTAACTCATACGTTCGTAATTACTACTTTGAAAGTCGTTGGCGTAAGTAGGTTGCTGTTTGTGATGAAGCTAACTCAGTGATTGTCAGCACTTTGTCATGCGTCTGTGCTGGAACCATCATAAATCTAAACAAACTATCACCGTGATTTGGGTTCTTGTTGATGAGCCGTCTTTTTCGGCTCTATTGTGCACATGCTAGCCCACCATCCTCAAGACGTTTTCTGTCACGTTAATTTTGAAAGAAGAGAAACAAACAAAAATGAAAAAAAATCTGTGAAAGCCTTGCACTATTATAAATCTTTGCTTCCAACAGTGCTGCATATTTCGGCTCTCAAATCTTGTGCAGCTACGTTTTCAATTATGGAAAATTTGACATATAACTTGCCGTCTTTTTCAGAAAGAAATGGCCATTTATTGCTTCAAATAGCATCGTAAGTTGATTCGCACCAATAAACAGCTGGTTTGAGCCGTTATCAAGCTTTATTCATTCAAAATGAAGATCTAAAATCCTCTGAGCCTTCTCCATGACTGTGATGAAGGAGGCTCTCATAAACTTTGCGTAATCGCTGATGATGACGCACAAACATCAACCTCATCATAGGGTTGTCACACCTTTACATCATTAGATTAGATTTTCATTCCCAAACAGTTCTGTAATGTGGCTGTACAAAAATCACCTTTCAAAGGTGAGCAACGCCAATCGAACAGATCCCGCGTGCATCTTCAAACTAAATTGATCATAGATATCGCATAAAAGCTGACTTGAATCAGAGAGGAATATAGTGGATATATGATTATGCCAAATGCACTGTCACGGAGAAGAAAGAAAGTGGAAAATGTTTCAGAGTCAAAACTTGACTGTGTCCCTAAAAAATGAAGTTGTCGCTAGCTGCATCATTATATGGCATTGTGATAATTAATTTTGGCACCTTAAACATTTAACAAAATGACTTTTAGTGTAAAAGAGTAGCATTTCCGAGATGAGATTTGCGTGAAAATCAGCGATCTTGCCAAATTTTCTGAAAGCACAGTCACCTCATTCATAGAAAAAAAAACTCAGCGGAACGACAGCGAACTCTCATAACAGCTGTTCGGCTCTGTGGACTCAGCACCCCCTAGTCTCGCTTGACTGCCATGCACGACTAACCGCGGACCCTAGGCAATGGCGCTCCAAGGATTCCCCTTTGGGGCGGGAGAGGGGCAAATTTTTTCGAGTGAAAATGCGTGGCCTTAGCCACGCAATCCGAAAAATTTTTTGGGTGCTTCTCAAAATTTCAGCGGCTTCATAACCTTCTGATAGAAGAAGGGAGTGGCAGCAGCCGAAAGAAATTTTTTACAAAGTTATTTTGAATTTCTAAAAAAATTATTCTTTTTATTTTCAAGAACTACTTCGCATGCGCACCGACTAGCGCGTCCATCGACGCGATCACCCTTCATCAAAGTCAACCCGTACACAACGCGCGTCTAGTTCAAATGAATTTATGCACCAAATAATGAAACATAAAATATTTAATAAAGTTATTAAACTACGAAACTACTAACCTAAGGGCAGCTAAAACAATAACACGGGACAAGCTACTCGATCTGTGCTGCCGATGCTTTCCTGGCTCAATCAACGTAAAGGACGTCTGGCGGCGGCTACAAAAAGCGCGACAGGTTAAAGCGGCATACAGTGCTCCAGGCATCTGTTCCAAGGAGCTGCTCTGCATCGAGGAGCCGCGACAACAGCAGTTTCTTAGAGTAGATTGATTTTGAATGCTTTCGGCAGAAATTGAAATGATCATCTTCTGAACAGGACGAGATGTTGCAAATGTCTCATACTTCAAAAATAGCCATACCCTCGATAAATAGAGCCACATACTCTGATAACCTTCACTTTACAATGAGGGGACACAACCTTCACCCGGAAAAAAACAGAAGTATCCGGGTCTTCGCCCCGGATGTTATTATTCTGACTATATCGGAAGAATGTGAATGAACCAAATATAGGAAAGAATATCTAAAGAATATTTCAGCGAAACCGAGAAATTGCTTTTTTGAAGTCTTTTTTACGCTGAAAAGAGAATTTCTGTGAAAGTTTTCTCAGAATTCAGGACAACGTTCCTCAGTTAGCCTCTTACTTGACCAAAAATGAGTTTCAAAAGTTTGGGAAAACTGTTGGAGTCGCATTAAAACGAGAAACTGCGCTCAAATGTGCGCAGAGAGTCGCGCACGAAAATGCTGGTCTATCTCGTTAGTAAGTGACTTTTAAAGCCTGGAACGTTCTCAGCTCTCCTCGTCCGTCGTGACGGTCAGAATGATATATATGTTACAGGGTTTCGTTGAGACCCCGACAAGACCCACGACCAGAGCCAAATGCCCCTTCGGCTCTGGTCTGTCTCCGCTTCTCGTCTGCGTCTCCGCGCGCTGCGCACTACCTCGCTACCCCAAACGTGGGGAAAGGGGCATTTGGTTCTGGTATCCTTTTCTCCGCTGTTTCGAACTCAATTTTGACAACTTATATATCGTTTTCAAGCTCTTGATCACTACTTTTACGCTGACAACGTCCCAAAATCACATTTCTTGATTTGGACGAGAAATCCGGCAAAAACCTTGTTTTCGAAAATCTCTTGTTTTTTTTTTCTAGTTTACCTTTTTTTACGCGGTTTTTTCGTGAATTTTATAGATCTTGCTTCTGTTCATAATGCAGACAACCAGCCCAACCTTCATCTCTTCGATTATTGTGGAATTTTTTGCGAGAAATCGTAAAAGTGCGTTTTTCTTTACCTTGTTCTGTTTCAGTGCTTTCGCATCGATTTATTTCCAGGTTGGGTAATTGTTGCTCAGAACAATAAGCGCAACAATTCAGACAACGTCCCGGGTAACAGGAACGTCAATGCGGGGGTAAAAATTCGAAGGACGCATCAAAAATCAAAACCCCGTGTTGCGAATTGCTGGTCCTGAAGCGAAAACTTGCACTTTGAAAAGCCGCCACATGAAAGATTTCAAGCCTCATTGCAGCGTTTTTATCCGGTTTTCAGCAGTTTCTTTTGCTTTTTATATCTGTTTTATGTCATTTTCTCTTCTCTGATCATCTTTGAACAATCTTCACTATTTATGACGTCAGATGTTCAAACAACCTTCACTTTCGACGCCCTATCTCTAGACTATCTAAGGTATGGAAATAGCTGTACGAAATAAATTTGAGAGTCAAAGAATGCACCGGATGCAAGTAGATTAATAAAAATGCCCAGCTTTTTAAACAAGTTTTCATAGTTCTCCGGTTTTTCTTCGAAATCAGTATGATAAAGGCCTGCACAGTACAGCTGTTTTTGATTTAAGACAGCTTCATTTCGAATTACGGCGTTTTTTGTAGCGTACCAGCTGGCTTACTCGGTTCCGTTCGGCCCTGTGAAAACACTACATACCAATTCCATATTCCGCTTTGTTTTCGTAATCAGCATGCTTGATTACCCCTCTATGCTAACTCTCAGCCCCGTTGCTCAAACTTTGCAAAAAGTCTATAAAAATCGATAAAAACGATATCGATCGACAACGAAAAGTAGCTTATGACACCCACCCGCCCCGAAGTTCATGCGTGTAGAGCCTTGTCCGAATCGGTTCTGAGATGAAATTTTCTATTTGGAACATAACAATCAAAAAAGATAAAATGATGTTACAGATGTAGTCTAAAATGATCATAACTTATAATAACGGGCTAAGGATGTTTACGTATTTTTGTGTGTATGTGTGTCTGTGTGTAAGTCTGTCTGTCTGTCACGAAATTCGTAGAGCGTGTTCCAGCCAACCTCCTGAGCCCAAATTTTGCACAGCGCATGCTACCAACATGAGAGTCCACTACACAAAAACATGAGCGGATCCGTTCTGTGAGTCCCTCAAGAAATGCGCTTCAATCAGATCCATTTGGCCTTTGGCCAGTAAAATTGAGCCTATAGCACCACTTTTGCAAAGTCACTAGTATGATTGAGAAGTTGAAGTGCAAGCCGTAGACCTTAGCCTGAAAAACTAAACTAAAGTTTATTACTTTCCGAAAACGGCGCCAAAAAAGAATTGGTTGCGTAAATGTTCAATTTGCCAAGATTTTACCCGAATATTTGAGAAGATTTTTGCACAGAGACGAAGCCAACGGTGATTATTGCATCTTATGGCAAATACCAAGCCATCAAAAGTCCCAAAACCGACTCAAATTTGCGTTTGTTCTTTTGAGAAAAGTTTCATCCACGCGAAAATACCGATCTCACACAAAAAAGCTCTAAAAATGAGTGATTTTTCACAAATCATTCGTGATAGTCCGCATAGCGCGGTAAGTTTCAATGTCATTATTGTGGGGAATGAGTAAGCGTACAGATATTAGGACCAGTGCGAGCCTCTGCGAAGCAGAGGTGCGCACTGGTAATATAATAATAACAAACATGTTGGAACTAGTTCTAACATGTCCTCATTCTTTCTCCACTACACACAAAAGATCGTCCAATTTTTCACAAGGAAGGACCCCTGGTCGAAGTGGTGTTCTCACACGTAATGCAAATCATTGTGCTGGTCTTAAGGCAGTTATACCAAATCCATTTTCCTTAACTGATCAATTATCTTCTGGAAAAAGCTACAAGCGATGGTTTCCCCCGTATCACCAGGGATCACTTGAGTCAACGCGCAGAAAAATGTTGTCAGCTGTGGAGGGATCCGTAGATAGCTGCGGAGACTATGGAGTGGAAAAGAATTTGGAACTCATGTTCCAAACATTCTTACATATTGCAGATTCTTTAATATGTATCCTTAGAGATCCCTAGTAAAGAAACCTCGGCACCCTCTGTACAATTTGCAAAAATGCAAAATATTTGGAACATAAGTATTCAAAACTCTTTACCACTTCCTCTATAATGTCCGCACCTATCCACCCGCCCATTTCTCCACAACTGACATCTCTCGGCGGCAAACTTAAGCGATCCGTGGTCATCCTGAAGAAACCATCGCTTATAACTTTTCCCAAAAAATCATTGAGCAGCTAAGCAGCACGGATTTAGTATTAGTGCAGCAAGACGAGCACAATGATATGCATCAAATGTGGGAACCCCACTTCGACCGAGGGTGCTTCCCTTGTCAGAAGGCTCTACATTTGTAGAAAGATTTTGCTCTCTTTAGAGACTTTCATTCAAAATTGTCTAAACCCTCCCTTCTTATTGAGAAATCCCAGATATTTCTTAGAAACTAAAACTCCGTCCAAGGCCTCGGGGAGTTCACGCGATTTCATCGCCGCGATTCTCCCAACAAGACAAACATTACGAGTCCATTGCCTTCCGATCATCTTGCATTGCGTGTGATAATTAGTCACGATTGGTCGTGTTGGAGAACTATCACAAACGAAATGCAAGAAGATCGACATGCAATGATATTGTTACAAATGTCTTGTCGCAATCAATCGCGACGATGAAATCGCGTGGACTCTGCCCGTGGCCTAAGCGAAGGGAGACGGAAATTTATAATTTTCCTTTATATACATACAGACATATAAACAAGCATTCAGCTTGTAAGATTTATATAAGTGTCCAGGTGTATTAGGGTGGGCATCGTGCGCTTCTGATCAAATCCTAATTCGTTTGATAAAAAAACCAGCTTTTAGTCCAAAACTCATTCAATAACCACTACATGAGTTTCCTTGAGATGTCAAAGTTAAAAAATTCTTATTCTCTACAACTGTTTGCGATGTTAGTACAAATGAACAGTCAAGAACATAACTCATCTTCGACTTCGATCTAGGGAAAAAAGCCCAGACATTTCAATTTCGGTCTGCACTCCCAACCTTGCATCAATGTGCAACGAAATACGCCCAAAACTGCCCGAGAGAATTTAAGCCTATATCTCGAAAAGCGCCTGATCCTTTTTCAACAATTCTTAAAAATTATGGTAGCAGTAAGTATGGCAACGACACCATGTCAACGTTGCATTTCCATGTTTGCGATAACATTCAGCATGCGTGTGATTTTACGTGCGAAGTTTTCGCAAAACTATAAAACACAGGTGATACAGGCTATCAAAAGCAACATTATTCAAACTTTATTCCCTATAAAATGTTAGAAAAGGTTCGATCTTTGCTCGTAACACTCAACTGTGCGAAAACACCTACCATTAAATCGAAAACGATTGATTTTTGGAAATTTCAAATCTCATTATTCCACAACAGCGTCACTTAAATTTGTATAAAGCGCTCATCTAATACGAAAAGTAGCTATGGAACATTGCTGACATTCCGTCCTCACTCAAATGCAGCTGTTTACTTTTCATGCTTATTATGCGTGATTTAGCCAAGCTGTAAAGGTTGTTCAAACTTTTTTCAATTTTTGACGCACGTTTTTGCAGAGCAGGGACAGGCAGACTCAGCGCTATCGCGATATGACTAAGGAATGGACGGTAAGTGGGCGAATAGCACTTATGAGTCGTCATTAACTCTTTTCGCAAAAAGATTTTTCCATACAAGGAAAGTTTACCGACTCGAGTATCCATTTCCAGCGAAATTTATTATTCGTTGCTCACTGTATGCAACCTAAAAACAGGGTTCCGAATCTGCCAAGGGGACCTTAGGCCAATATATAAGCGTTCAAACTATCCGATAACTTTACACAAGTAAACTAGATTGCTTCAACGCAGCTGACATCCAAGCAAAGTAAGTACGGGTTGAGAGAAAGTCTTTGAACAACATTTAGATGCTATCTTGTTTGATCATATCATGTCATATCTTATCTTATCTTTGGTGTAAATAATCTTTGAACTGTTTTATAGAAGCCCTCCAGAAATCGGATTGATATTCTTAAGCCTACCGGAATATGTCTTCTCAATCAGAGCGCGAGCTGATCGTGAAGATGCACATGGAAGGGAAGTCACGCAGATAGCTCAACTCGGAATTTCGCGAAACACAGTGTGGTACAACTTGCGCCGTTTCAAGGAGACAAGCAGTACTCAGGACCGTCCTAGGGACGGTTGACCAGTCACAGCGAACACTGTCGCGAACCGGAAGATCATCCGAGAACGCATACGTCGTAATCCGCTAAGGAGCTTGAGTGAGCTGGCATCAGAGCTGTCCATCAGTCGTAGGACCACATCTCGGACATTGTGAAAGTGAAACTTGGGATGAAGCTCTACCGGATGCAGAAAACGCATGCACTTCAAAACAATATGAAACTGACCCGACTTCACAGGTGTCGCCGATTGCTTGAGCGTTTCTCCAAGGCACGCCACCGATCGATCCTTTTTTCTGATGAGAAAAATCTCACCGTGGAGGAGGTTTTCAATCGCTAAAACAGCAGGATCATATCCAAGTCGGTCGAAGAAGCAAACGGCAAAGGTCGACTTGTGGAAAGTAAGCTCCATTCGGCTTCTGTGATGGTTTGGGCGGCAATCACTTCCGACGGCAAGACGCCGCTGATTTTTGTGCCTTAGAGCATCAAGGTAGACGCTGCTGAGTATTTGGATGGCATTTTGAAGAAGGTGCTGCTACCCTGGACCAGTACCCATTTTGCCGGTAGGGATTGGTGCTTCCAGCAGGACAGCGCACCTGCCCACAAGGCGAAGGTTGTTCAGGCATGGCTTCAAAGCAACGTAAAGAACTTCATTACTCCTGCAGAGTGGCCTCCGTGTTCGCCGGCCTCAATCCCCTCGACCACAGCGTATGGTCAGTTCTTGAGGCCAAGGCTTGCGCTCACCCACACAAGACTTTGGAGTTCCTGCGACGTGCTCTTCAGAATGCGTGGGAAGAAATCGACGTGGGTACCTCCGTGTCACCGTGAACAGCTTTCCCAAGCGTCTTCGAGCCTATATTTGCGCCGAAGGAGGGATCTTTGAAATGTAAAGGCACTTTTATATAGCAGAGTGTTTGATAAACATGATATATTTATTTCATGTGAATATGTTGCCTAGTTTCGTAACAACGACAAAAAACCGTGTTCAAAGACTTTCCCCCAACCCTGTAAATGGTAAGTTGGGGCTCATGATTTTTGAGGTCTAAGCTTTAATCTTTCATCATTCTTGATTTGTCCCTTTTGTCTTCAATGGTAAGCTGAACGTCCTCGCATCATCAGAAACAAAATTTCTTGCAAAAATCAGCTACTATCTTTCATCTCAAAAATAAGCCAGTTGTATGCTAAGCAAAAGATTTTGCGTTGATTGAAACAAGATTACTATCAAGAGATAACACTATTACGATCACTACCGATAATGCAAGTCACAGTCCACAGTATCAGCTTAAATCGTGAGGAACAAGCTTTTTCATGTTTGACAAGTAGCTGTATTGCAACAGTGTTTCTGATGATGCCTATTTACATTCTGTCTGGAAAGGCCACAACTTATTACGCTTACTTGGTTAGCTCCAAGTATCATTCGGTAGAGCAGGCTCTAACTTAGCTTTACATCACTCTCATGATTATATCGATGAAGGTGAAATTTTTAAAAAGGGTTTGAGGCATCTAGCTACATTTTGCCCCAGAATAGAAACGCAACGGGCCAAAAATTTTACTATTGATGTAAAATGAATCGCTGATTATTAATATGAAACTCTCGCTTCACCGCAAGTTTTTTTATAAACTTTGTCAGGTAAACCGCAAGAACGTTTTTTCAGTAATTTTTAATAACGTGAATTTGCCATTTGGGTCGCTTTTAAAATTTGTAAAAAGTTTTCAGTGAAACCAGTATGTCAGGAGACATTGCGCACAACTTTTCAGATTTTTTGAACTTATTCTCAAACGGTCCATATCACGATAGCAACGTATGCGAGAGGCTTCTACCGTAATTTTACAATAATGGAAAGCGATGGGTGATTAAGTCCATGACCTGTTGCACTATGATCAGGGCTCGGCACGAGCTGGCACCGAAGAATCTTCAAATCAAAATCCTTTTTGATTTACAATTTCGTACGAGGTAGTCCCTTTTGATCCTAAATCCTATAAGTAAAAAACTCTCAAAAAGCGAAACTTTGACTAAAAAACGTCGAAATTTTTGTGTCGTTTCAGCTAAAAACCGTGATCCAGCTTGACCCGTGCCAGCTGTTGCCTGTCCCTGATCAGTGCCCGGCACAGATCGTCTGGAAGCATGCTGGACTTCGTTTTTAGAGCAAAAAACAAAGGAGATATTGTATGAGGAATCGAGGCCGAGCACCAAAATCAAGCGCCACTTAATCGAACACAGGCTTTTCGCACAGGTTATACGATCGACATGCTGTGTTGTGTATGACAAAAAGTGGGCGCGATTTGAAAGCAAGGCTAAAATGAACAAATTGCTTGTTGGCGCAAACAGAATCATACGACACCAAAATTGAACTGTAAACATAGAAAGTTATTTGCAAAAGAATTATTCAAAAAAGTTTGAAAACTTATGTGAAATATTACCTTTTCCAAAATTAGACCGTTTCCACACGGTCGCCAGACGATCTGAGATCGTCTGGAGCATATTTCTGTCACTTTATATAAGTTTTGGATTTTATATCACGGACGGATTACCCGGTCAAAAATCTATCCCTAAACATGAAAACATTCTCATATCATTGCCTTTCCTTTGTTTTTTGACTTGATTTCTTTAAATCGCTTTGTCAAATATCGCGCTCTATCACCTCTTGAGCAAGCGTAGCATTCAGCTCCAAATTTTACCCTTATCTCACGTTTTTTCTTTCAGATTAGTAAATGTTTCTTGTTTTCAACTTTTCCTAAATAGGTAGTTCAAAGAGGACTTTGTAAAACTTCCGAACGTCAGGGGAGACTTCGTTTTCAAAAACCCTAGAAACCGACTCATGCCGGGCCCTGGCCGGGCCCTGAATGGAGCCCTAATTTTGCAATCATCAGTTGAAAAAACGACCGCCCATCTTCCCATGCTCTAAAATGCCCATCTGAACGCAGCTGACCGGCAGGTCAAAGCTTTTTATTTTGAAAATACAAATTATCGCCGCAGCAACTTTGCAGCGCTGCCGTAAATAAAGGATGGCTTGGAAAGTGAAGCGTGGTAGATAGTGTGCTATGTTGAAGAATTAGAGAAAAGTCTCGTTAGTTGCTCGTGAATAACTTAGTCAATGTTGACATTCTCTTGCGTTGCAAAAATGGGAAATCTGCACGATTTTGGCGCTTGAATGGAAGAGGATCGATGAACAGCTGACTGCTGCGAGAATATGGATAAAAAGGTTTTTTTCGCATTTTGTTGCAGATGGTGCTTTTTTTTCTCAGAAAAACCGCTTCAGATATTTTTTTTCTTTGTTTGCTGGGTGAGATCTCCAGTAGCCATTATTATAAATTTTTCCATAGCGGCCGTTATCGTAAATCGCCTGGCTAGGGCTGGGTCCATACTGATTCCCATGTTCCGAACCTGTTCCCGCATTGTGCTGAAATTGTTCCGGATGTGCTGCATGCGCTGCACTAGCCCCACACGCGTTTTGAACGGCGGGAGTTGGAGATGACAGTTTTCAACGGTTTTTCTTCCAGATTTCTTTGATTTCAGCCTTATTCCTCTACCCCGCTTCCCTTTTTGATCAGCAGGACTTCGAACTCAAAGCGGAGTTGAAGAATAAGCGCTTTTCTGCTCTGCGTATGCGACAAAACGTGTGTTCTTGTGCTCGTCCATTTTCTCTTCGCTATATTTTTATCAAACCCATTCCAACTGTTCCAGGAAGCCGCTTAGTTTCCATAGCTATCTGCTATGAATTAGAGCGTGTGAGCAATTCTGAAATTGCATAAATCGGGACTTTTCTCTTGCTTTCTGATGAGCGTTTTTGGGCCTTCTCAGCCCCTTTCCATGTTCCATATCGTTGCTTCTCCGTTCTTTATTCTATCCCGCTTCTTCTTGTGATGAGAAAAGCTCTGGACTTGAAGCGGGAATGAGGATTGAACGCTGTTCTGCTTCATGTATCCGGGAAGATGGGCCTTCGTGCTCGTCCATCTTCTCTTCCATTTTTGTCCAGGCCTATTTCATATGTTCTCAAGACCTGTCTATGTCCTTTTAATATAGATTCGAGAATACGGCGCCTCACCAGCGCCTTCCTGGAACACACGAAGTAGGACTGAACAAAAATGAAGAGAAAATAGACGAGGACAAGAACACACGTTTCGTCGCATACGCAGAGCAGAAAAAGCGCTCAATCTTCAACTCCGCTTCGAGTTCGAAGTTCTGCTGATCAAAAAGGGAAGCGGAGTAGAGGAATAAAGCCAAAATGAGAGAAATCTAGAAGAAAACCGTTGGAAACGCTCAAAGTTCTTCAACTCGGCCGTTCAAAACGCTGCGGGGCGGCTGCAGCGCATGCAGCACAAATCCGGAACAGTTCCAGCACGGTGCTGGAACTGTGCTGGAACAGTTCTGGAACATGGGAACCAGTATGAACCCAGCTTAAGTAGTAGAAATTGTGTCGCCAGCCGCACTCGAACTACGGCTCTGCCGGTTGAAACGCATTCACTTGACTATACCTGCACAAATGGCAAAACTGTTCTTTCCTCGGAAGCGTCTACAAAGCTATCCGCCAACGATTAATCGCTCTTTTGGCAGCGCGCTGAGTCAAACTAGGCCCGCCTCAGTCGCGTTAGAATATTAATAAGGGCCTTTGTCTTCTTCCAATAGATAAGACAAGAATTTATTGCTTTACTATTATGTGTTCTTCGTATACTAATGTTAAAACTGCGTTTACAGGCATTCCTACTGCTCATGCTGTGCATCTTAACAAAAGGTATCATGTTTTGTATCTTTTCACTGTTACAGAACTATGAGTTTCAGAAGTACACAGTCTAAAAACTGACACTCAAGTCGTGTACTACAAGTCAAAAGAAAAAACAATATCCAGCCCTAATCAAATTGTCTACTATGATGATAAAATAAAAAGAACATCAATTTCCAATCCTTCCCGATTTGTCTACTACGGTGATAAAAGAAACATTCTCGAATCTTCACCAAGCAGGACCATCTATTATGACTATGGAAGACCAGTAGAAAGGACGGTAATTGTTCCACAGCGGGTATGTCACGTTTTTAGTCTGCAGATTCTGTACCCCTACCAGAATATACTGTTTCATTTTTTTAAGGAATTCCTCATACAAAATCTCACAAACATCACTATTGGAATGTGAGTTTAAACTCTTCTTAGATAACTCAAAATATATAGCCTACAGTACTTGCCACGTCTATGGTGCTAAAATACCAGATTAGTAAGAAGAGCTGAGTGTGAGTACTGAAACAGGATTTTATATATTTTCAATCAAGGTGCAGAGTCGGTTAAACTGTTGAGCTTTTGATAGAATTTCCATATGTGACGTATTTTGCGATTTGACAGCCGGTTTCACCGAAGTTTCGGGAATAACTTTGATCAGTAAATTTTGATCTTGTAGTGGAACGGCCTCATCTTCTCTTTTGCGGAAAGAATTCCTTTTCTTACATGGAATTCTTAGCATGTCTATAGCTGAAGGCATTAGACCATTGGAAATCCACAACGAAAGCTCTCTAGATTTGATTAAATTTTTTCATAAACAGCAACCTCAAAATTACCCTTCTTGAAACTTGTTATTAATTTTTTCAACTGACACTTGTCTCAAACTCGCACTGCCAGCCCATTATTCGCATCTAGAGCCCTTTCTGTTCTTCAAAAGATTCTTTGGATTTGCGCGAAACCAAAAAAGCAGAGGTCTGTATGCCCAAAGTCTGTATGCTGTTGACTATGTACAATCTCAGCTCAAGTCTCAACTGCTTGAGAAAGAATGAGAGTGGTCAAACTCTGCACAAGTATGTATAGAGATTGTTATTTTCACTTAGATGAAGTTGTCCTAATTTGAAGGCAATTCATGTGTTCTTTGTTTCGAAAATTCTTCTACTAAAGCATACATTTTTTCAAAGCTGTTATGGATACAAACAAAGAAAGTAAACAAATCGCAGCAACCATCCAAATTGAGATGTGTATGAATTGCTTGAAGTAGAATGATTTATCCAAAACTGTACTCCATTTCTGCTAAACGACATTGGCTAATAAGTTACAAGCATCTATAGCAGCTGCGAAGCGCTGCTGATCTCACTGAAGCTGCTTCACTGTCTACAGCACTCTCTTAATCGTGAATTTGTTGGAGTACTCCGTAATGAACCTTCTCTTGCGATCCTCATATCAACTCTTTTCCCAGTAAAATTCGAACGCTAAGTTGCTTATTTTTGTAGCATGAAAAAAATCTAGACGTACACGCAAAAACGTTACAAAGCTTACCAACCATTCGACCATCCGGGTTCCAAAATCTCAAAGCCATGCATTTCTTTAAACTTTGCCTGTAACTAATAGGGTAATGTACAAACACAAATTTGCTTAAGTTGTCTGCGTGTATGTTTTCTACCACGATGTTCTGACATCGACTGCGCATTCAAAATCTTGCGTTCCGCGGTTAAGAAAGTTGATAATTGCAAGCGCCATGACTTCACCAAAATCCTCTTTTGTCATTGTCGCTATCGTAGTAGCACGCTAAAGACCTGTGTACAAGAGTTTGAGCAAATCCCAAATTTGACGCACATACCGTACACCCACTGTAGGCCAGAATACAGGGTACGCCAAAATTAAAGGTGCGTGTTTGCTTGAGTGCTAGAAGGATACAAGACGGGCTTGATGACGGTTCAAGCATGTACCTGTTTTCAGCAGCAATTAGCATTGTAATGCTAATGTCAAATCAGAATTTGGCTGCTTAAGTTTTCGCAAAAAAATCTCAAATCCCTCGACAGCCAAAGTATGCTCTGTACGCAGATCCAACTTTGAAAATTGACACGATATTCCTTCAAGGACCTTTCCTCTCGTTTTGAGATTGGGCACCAAAGTAGAGCAAGCCTTCGCCTTCAACACCGTTAAGTATGAAAATCTGGGAACTGATTCCAGGATGGATCTTCGATTTTTTAGAAACATGCTTGGAGGCACTATATCAAAAGTCAGTGGTATTTTGGCCCTGCTGAGTGCGCCTAAGAATCAGAAAATGTCTTCTCAGTCAGTTTCAAAACTGTTTTCATGGACAGCTCTTATAATATACGCTCTTCTACACGTCTCATAAATAAAGAAATGCCTGTTACCTGGAAGGTTTTGCGCGTCTGAGTTTTGCTATCGATTTTGAACATAAATTGTTGTTCGTACGCAGGTATTTTTTGCAAACACATCTTTGTATTCCGTAAAAGAACAAATTTATGTAAATGCAACTAAGACTATGTGATAGCGCAAAGTGTGCTCTCAACATCAGCTTAGAATGACTCAAAAAGGCTTCGAGTTCATTTAGTTGCAGAGCAAAGTATGAAGTTAAAAAAATTCCATTGCTTCTTTTAAAAACGGTTAATCTGATTCTTTCAGTCCCCGGAATCTTGAAAAGAGATCTCTTTTAATTCTGTAGATACCTCTTGTATTTTGGCACCCTGCAACGCTACCGTGCAAAATTGATAATTAGGTTGAACCGAAAGTTCTGTCGCACCATTTTCAAAAAATCATAACTTCTTTCCCTCACAACGATTTTGTGCAATTCAAATTTTGTCGGAAAGCGTAAAGCATGTAGTTTCCAAAAGTTCCTAGGGAGCTTTCCAATATGCTCGGGTTGCAGAGATAAAAATGAAAGAACGAGATCATTCGGAATTCGGATTTTTAAGCAAAAATTCTAGAAATCTAGAACTGTGCGATTGAATCCAAAACAGCCACCATCTTAACTTTTCTCATAGTTTATTACTAACTGAGTTAAGTTTGTGCTGATCGAGCTCTTCTTTCAAAAGTTATGATTTTTTGAAAAAAATGCCGATAAACCAGTTTCTTAAGAATCCTTACGAAATTGATTTTTCGGCATTTTTTTCTGAGTGAAAGAAGTTATGATTTTTTTGAAAATGGTGCGACAAAACTTTCGGTTCAACCTAATATATTTTTTGCTTAGGTTCCCGATAATCCCAATAGATCATCATCACCCAAATTTGTTACTTTTTCCTACTGCATATCCATCGTTAACAGGTAATGGTGATTCTCTCCGCAGTAAGAGCGCGGTATTCGTGACTAGCATTGTCAGATAAGCCTCACAGGCAAAAATCGAGTTACATCACAATTTTCAGATTTTGGGGCTGAGATAGCTTGTTGGCCGATAAGCTTCGCAGTTCTCAAATAGAACAACTTTTTGCTGTATGAATGGTGGAAATTAAAATTCTTTGCTGCTTCGAAAATAAATAATTTAGCAGAACAAAATATTTGCGAAGAAATAAGAGGTTGGTGGTAATATTGCAGAAGAAGCTCCATCGTATAGTCAAAATAACCTCATGATTTGTAAACAAAACCTTTTCCTACTATATTGCATGTAAGGACGCCTTCAGAACGTAGCTAAACCAGCCACGCAACTGGAATTTTCAACGCTCATAAATTTTTAGCCTATGATGCCTAACAAAAATGAAATATACTCTTGTATTTACCATCCTAATACGAGCGATATGGTATGCACCTCATTTTGGTTGATGGTGAACTCAGCAAAAAAATCGATAAAAATCGATAAAATCGATATCGATCGATGACGAAAAGTAGCCTATGACACCCGCCGGGGCCCGTAGCGTATGTGTGCCAAGTTTGGTCCGGATCGGTTCAGAAATGGAATTTTCTATTCGGAACATACGTACATACAGACATACATACATACATACAGACATACAGACATTCAACTTTATATATAAGATAGCGCGCGCTCAGGCAGGCGTGTGTCAATAAGGTGCGCACCGTTAGCCCCGCCTATCGCAAGATGGACGAGTTCTCTGCAGTACAGCTCTAGCACTGGTTCATGGCCATGTTCCATTGTCAATCGAAAGCAACTTCTGATAGTGAGCTATAAGTTTGTTGCAAGCTAGGAGAAAGCCTGACTATTTGACTACAGAATTGCTTCAATTTCTTATCTTTTTTTTTGCCAGTCAATGAACAGCGTGAATTTCAAAAAATTTGCTGTTCTACCTATAAACGACCAAGTGACTCCTGGATATCCAACTTTGGAGTGTGAAATCAACCTAGAAGACCTCAGGCATGATTGTCTGAGTGACCTCACATCTTACGACAACTTCACACGCAGTTTCGATTGTGTTACAGATCCATCTATATTGAAAATAGCAGTTTTTGGAAGCAAAATAAAAGAGTTTTGAATTTAGAACACACTCGAAAAAAATATAAGTGCAGTGTGATTTTCCCTTTTCCTGAAACCTGAAAAAATTTGTGTGATATAACCGCATATTTGCAAAACGAGTAATATATGATTATGCGAAACATTACCAAATGTAATGATATATACAAGTCATTGAAATTAGCTTACTTGAAAAAAAAATTCGCCTTGTTTTGAATTCTCGTCGCAGTGAAATCTGTTTGCTATGATTAGGGTTTCAAAACTTACTTTTTAAAAGAGATAATCCTGTTGGTCATTTCAGCAATGATAATAACATTTCTCAGTAAGCTGAATTCTTCTTGAACTAGACTTGAGAGTGCACAATAATATTCAATTCAGTATAGTAACAGATGTGAGTAAAAAAAACACTTTTTTTATGAACGAAATATTAGCAGTGGCGTACCGAGGGCCCCCCCCCCCAAGAACGGGTCGCGAAATTTTTGAAAGTTATTTACATGATTTATAAAAATGCGCAAATGACTTGTATGTAATTGTAAACAATTAAAATATTTTTTAAAATTTTCTAAAAATTCATTTTGGTCTTGTAAAAATATTTTTTTTCGGTTCTGAGTTCGCGAAAATCTTAGGAAGCATACCAAAAAAATTTCGGAGTGCGTGAGTGACGCCATGCACCTTTATCGAAAAAATTTTTGTCGCCCCCGAGCCGAAATCCTGGGTACGCCCTGTATAGGAGAGTTTTCCAATGGCTGCAACGCATTCCTAGGCTAATTAACAAGGGGCGGAGCGATCAGCGCACTGCGTACGGTACCCAGCTGGCGGCTGGCACATGCTATCGTTCATAACGTCACACATCCGGGATAGTGCGTACTTAAAATCCTCGTACCTCTTCGTTATTTCGGAAATTTTCTTGCTTCCAAAGTTACTTTTGAGCCGCAATTTAGGCACGTTACAATAGGAGGCCTTGGTATCGTACTAATGCCCAAGTGCGGATCAAAATGTAACTGATGTCAAAAGCGCAGAACCTCTAATTCAAAGTGGACGTTGCCTTTGAAGCTGTCATGTAAGATGTACGGGTGCATACGCAGTTATTTCATCCTAGAAGCCTTGTCCCGGCAAAATTTGCTCTCGTTTTTCACATCTCCGTAGCCTTTCCGCCATGCTGAAGCCATATCTAAGCTTTTAGCGCTTGAAAACGGCGAAAATGGACTTTTTTTGAAGCTCTCTTTGTCCGCGTTTTCTCCAAATTAAGTTTAAGAAATGGGCAGAGCCTGGAAATGGGCGGCATCTGTTAGACCCGGAGCGAATTTTGGCTTCACAAAAGCGCTTTTTCGCCCCAGCCTTCACTAATAGAATAGCTGGAATGTCTACCATGCAGCACCGCAAATGTCCGCTACCCATCATTTTGAGGGACGCTGCCGTTAAGGGCCACACTTTACAACGCGCCGCGTGGGCCCGCTCAAAGGCACCGTCCACCTTGAATTAGGAGTTATGAGCTTCTGGCATCATGCGATAGTAGGGCATTCTATCAAGCCATTGCTTGAGTCGCGGCTCAAAATGTCATTTCCAAAGCGAGAAGATCGCTCCGGAATAACGGAGAGGCACGAGGACCCCAAATCTGCACTGCCCTCTTTCAGTAATGCCCGCCCATCCTTGCCTGATCAACCAATCACCGTTAACCCCTACAAGTTTGTGCGTTCCACTAAACCTGAACCCGCAGGGTTGTGGCAGTTTTCGTGAATCCTCGACTCCATAGTCATTGCTTAAGAGACATGAGAATGCCCCGTAACGACAACATGGAAGTCGAGAATTTGTGTGAACGGTGCCTCTAACGCTTCCCACGGCAGCAGATTATATATGTAGTATAGTCACATACAATCGCAAGTAGGCATACAGATTCTAAAACTAACATTATGAAATCTCCTCAAAACAAGCTGATTTCTCTCATAGATGTACCATGTGCTTAAAGGTGCGGAGGAGTAAGGGCGTCGTTCAGGCAGTTTTAAAGGGTAGAATCGTTTTTGGTGCGTGAGCTTGTCGTTACGCTTTTGGTTGGTATTAAACCTTCTCTTACAAGACAAGTACGAAGGCTATCACGCGCGTGCAAAGCACTTGGGCTCTTAGTCTCAAATTAATAATTTTTAGGATGCATCCCCCTCCAGAACATAGACGCTGCAAGTCAGATTTGGATTGTCACGGCCTTCGTAACGGAAGATGTTTTCACAACATCTGTGTGGAAGGAGGAACGAGATGCTTGACAGATGCTCAATGTCCGAAGTTTCCATTTTCGCAGTGTGTTGACGCATTTTGTTTGAGACTCGGTCATCAATGCACACTAGATCAGGAATGTCCGTTATTTCCCCTAACGGTATGCGTACACAATCGATGCATCAGATTGGGGCAAAGTTGCACTCGTTCCGAAGAATGTCAGTCGTATCCACACAGCACGTGCATTAATGGCGTTTGCGAAAAAGCGATAATAAGGAGATGCAGCAAAGACAGTGAATGCGATGGATCCTTCAATCAGTATTGCGAGCGAGGGTACTGTGTTTCGTACGGGCAATATTGCAGCCACAATTGCCCTTGCCCTAATTATCCTCATGTAAGCTGCATCGATTCACGATGTAGAAGATTTGGTCAACTATGCCGCACTTCAAAAGATTGTGCACATCCCCTTATGACTTGCCGGAGTTCCATTTGTCAGTTTGTGAGCAGGCATGGTGTTATAAAAAAATGTCAAGCAGATAATCAATGCAATCCCAACGCATACAGTTTCTGCATCAGAGGGCGTTGCGTTAGCCTCGGCCAGGACTGTAGAACAGACAGCGAATGTAGCTACGATTCACAGTGCGTCAACTCACGCTGCGTAAAACTTGGGCAGCAATGTACCAACACCATCGACTGTCCCTTCCCCATGTACACGATGTGTAAGAACGGCATTTGTCAGAAGAACTCAGGAAGTGGAGGTAGATGCTATTCGGACAAGCAGTGCAACCCTTCGGCTTACAGTTTCTGCATCAGTGGAAGTTGCATTAGCCTCGGCCAGGACTGTAGAACAGACAGCGAATGTAGCTACGATTCACAGTGCGTCAACTCACGCTGCGTAAAACTTGGGCAGCAATGTACCAACACCATCGACTGTCCCTTCCCCATGTACACGATGTGTAAGAACGGCATTTGTCAGAAGAACTCAGGAAGTGGAGGTAGATGCTATTCGGACAAGCAGTGCAACCCTTCGGCTTACAGTTTCTGCATCAGTGGAAGTTGCATTAGCCTCGGCCAGGACTGTAGAACAGACAGCGAATGTAGCTACGATTCACAGTGCGTCAACTCACGCTGCGTAAAACTTGGGCAGCAATGTACCAACACCATCGACTGTCCCTTCCCCATGTACACGATGTGTAAGAACGGCATTTGTCAGAAGAACTCAGGAAGTGGAGGTAGATGCTATTCGGACAAGCAGTGCAACCCTTCGGCTTACAGTTTCTGCATCAGTGGAAGTTGCATTAGCCTCGGCCAGGAATGTAGAACAGACAGCGAATGTAGCTACGATTCACAGTGCGTCAACTCACGCTGCGTAAAACTTGGGCAGCAATGTACCAACACCATCGACTGTCCCTTCCCCATGTACACGATGTGTAAGAACGGCATTTGTCAGAAGAACTCAGGAAGTGGAGGTAGATGCTACTCGGACAAGCAGTGCAACCCTTCGGCTTACAGTTTCTGCATCAGTGGAAGTTGCATTAGCCTCGGCCAGGACTGTAGAACAGACAGCGAATGCACCTACGATTCACAGTGCGTCAACTCACGCTGCGTAAAACTTGGGCAGCAATGTACCAACACCATCGACTGTCCCTTCCCCATGTACACGATGTGTAAGAACGGCATTTGTCAGAAGAACTCAGGAAGTGGAGGTAGATGCTATTCGGACAAGCAGTGCAACCCTTCGGCTTACAGTTTCTGCATCAGTGGAAGTTGCATTAGCCTCGGCCAGGACTGTAGAACAGACAGCGAATGTAGCTACGATTCACAGTGCGTCAACTCACGCTGCGTAAAACTTGGGCAGCAATGTACCAACACCATCGATTGTCCCTTCCCCATGTACACGATGTGTAAGAACGGCATTTGTCAGAAGAACTCAGGAGGTGGAGGTAGATGCTACTCGGACAAACAGTGCAACCCTTCGGCTTACAGTTTCTGCATCAGTGGAAGTTGCATTAGCCTCGGCCAGGACTGTAGAACAGACAGCGAATGTACCTACGATTCGCAGTGCGTCAACTCACGCTGCGTAAAACTTGGGCAGCAATGTACCAACACCATCGACTGTCCTTTCCCCATGTATACGATGTGTAAGAACGGCATTTGTCAGAAGAACTCAGGAGGTGGAGGTAGATGCTACTCGGACAAACAGTGCAACCCTTCGGCTTACAGTTTCTGCATCAGTGGAAGTTGCATTAGCCTCGGCCAGGACTGTAGAACAGACAGCGAATGTACCTACGATTCACAGTGCGTCAACTCACGCTGCGTAAAACTTGGGCAGCAATGTACCAACACCATCGACTGTCCCTTCCCCATGTACGCGATGTGTAAGAACGGCATTTGTCAGAAGAACTCAGGAGGTGGAAGTAGATGCTATTCGGACAAGCAGTGCAACCCTTCGGCTTACAGTTTCTGCATCAGTGGAAGTTGCATTAGCCTCGGCCAGGAATGTAGAACAGACAGCGAATGTAGCTACGATTCACAGTGCGTCAACTCACGCTGCGTAAAACTTGGGCAGCAATGTACCAACACCATCGACTGTCCCTTCCCCATGTACACGATGTGTAAGAACGGCATTTGTCAGAAGAACTCAGGAAGTGGAGGTAGATGCTACTCGGACAAGCAGTGCAACCCTTCGGCTTACAGTTTCTGCATCAGTGGAAGTTGCATTAGCCTCGGCCAGGACTGTAGAACAGACAGCGAATGTACCTACGATTCGCAGTGCGTCAACTCACGCTGCGTAAAACTTGGGCAGCAATGTACCAACACCATCGACTGTCCTTTCCCCATGTATACGATGTGTAAGAACGGCATTTGTCAGAAGAACTCAGGAGGTGGAGGTAGATGCTACTCGGACAAACAGTGCAACCCTTCGGCTTACAGTTTCTGCATCAGTGGAAGTTGCATTAGCCTCGGCCAGGACTGTAGAACAGACAGCGAATGTACCTACGATTCACAGTGCGTCAACTCACGCTGCGTAAAACTTGGGCAGCAATGTACCAACACCATCGACTGTCCCTTCCCCATGTACGCGATGTGTAAGAACGGCATTTGTCAGAAGAACTCAGGAGGTGGAGGTAGATGCTACTCGAACAAACAGTGCAACCCTTCGGCTTACAGTTTCTGCATCGGTGGAAGTTGCATTAGCCTCGGCCAGGACTGTAGAACAGACAGCGAATGTACCTACGATTCACAGTGCGTCAACTCACGCTGCGTAAAACTTGGGCAGCAATGTACCAACACCATCGACTGTCCCTTCCCCATGTACACGATGTGTAAGAACGGCATTTGTCAAAAGAACTCAGGAGGTGGAGGTAGATGCTACTCGGACAAGCAGTGCAACCCTTCGGCTTACAGTTTCTGCATCAGTGGAAGTTGCATTAGCCTCGGCCAGGACTGTAAAGCAGACAGCCAATGTACCTACGATTCACAATGCGTCAACTCACGCTGCGTAAAACTTGGGCAGCAATGTACCAACACCATCGACTGTCCCTTCCCCATGTACACGATGTGTAAGAACGGCATTTGTCAGAAGAACTCAGGAAGTGGAGGTAGATGCTACTCGGACAAGCAGTGCAACCCTTCGGCTTACAGTTTCTGCATCAGTGGAAGTTGCATTAGCCTCGGCCAGGACTGTAGAACAGACAGCGAATGTACCTACGATTCGCAGTGCGTCAACTCACGCTGCGTAAAACTTGGGCAGCAATGTACCAACACCATCGACTGTCCTTTCCCCATGTATACGATGTGTAAGAACGGCATTTGTCAGAAGAACTCAGGAGGTGGAGGTAGATGCTACTCGGACAAACAGTGCAACCCTTCGGCTTACAGTTTCTGCATCAGTGGAAGTTGCATTAGGCTCGGCCAGGACTGTAGAACAGACAGCGAATGTACCTACGATTCACAGTGCGTCAACTCACGCTGCGTAAAACTTGGGCAGCAATGTACCAACACCATCGACTGTCCCTTCCCCATGTACGCGATGTGTAAGAACGGCATTTGTCAGAAGAACTCAGGAGGTGGAGGTAGATGCTACTCGAACAAACAGTGCAACCCTTCGGCTTACAGTTTCTGCATCGGTGGAAGTTGCATTAGCCTCGGCCAGGACTGTAGAACAGACAGCGAATGTACCTACGATTCACAGTGCGTCAACTCACGCTGCGTAAAACTTGGGCAGCAATGTACCAACACCATCGACTGTCCCTTCCCCATGTACACGATGTGTAAGAACGGCATTTGTCAAAAGAACTCAGGAGGTGGAGGTAGATGCTACTCGGACAAGCAGTGCAACCCTTCGGCTTACAGTTTCTGCATCAGTGGAAGTTGCATTAGCCTCGGCCAGGACTGTAAAGCAGACAGCCAATGTACCTACGATTCACAATGCGTCAACTCACGCTGCGTAAAACTTGGGCAGCAATGTACCAACACCATCGACTGTCCCTTCCCCATGTATACGATGTGCAAAAAGTCAGTTTGTCAGAAGCTAGAAAGTGAAAAACAATGCTACTCTGACCGACACTGTAATCCTTCAAATTACAGCTTTTGCATTGGTGGAGGTTGTGTGACCTTAGGTCAGTACTGCTCATCGGACAGTGAATGCAGTTATAATGCACAGTGTGTAAATTCACGGTGTGTAAAACTGGGACAGCAGTGCAGCAACACCGTTGATTGTCCTTTCCCTCGGTATACAAAGTGCATTGGCTTAGTTTGTCGCAAAAGAGAGTACGGTACAACTTGCCGCTCCGATCATGATTGTAATCCTGGACTGTATTCTTTCTGTGTGCGTGGGCTTTGTGTCAGACTCGGTGAGCGGTGCTTATCTGACACTGAATGCAAATTGTATCCAAGCGCCTTATGCGTTAATAGGCGTTGCATCAAAGTGGGACAGCATTGCATTAAGAGTATGGATTGCCCATTCTATCCACATCTGAACTGCATAAACTCGCGCTGCCGGAAAACTAAAGGCAAAAGTTCGTGTTATTCAGATCGCGAATGCAATCCTTCACATTACAGCTTCTGCATTGATGGTCAATGCACAACTTTGGGTCAGCAATGTCTTGCTGATGAACAATGTCCGTACCGTCCTCAGACCGTTTGCGTCGATTCCCGTTGCATCAAAATTGGACAACCATGTTCGATAGCGAAAGACTGCCCTTTCTATCCTTCTATCGTATGTTCCAATTCGCTTTGTCAAAAGCCTGGGGAGCAAAAATGTACTTTGGATCGAGATTGTAATCCCAAAGATTACATTTTTTGCATCAGTGATCGTTGCACGAAACTGGGAGATCAGTGTTCTATTGACACAGAATGCAAGTATTACCCCAGCACAGCCTGCGTAAAGTCACGATGCATCAAAATAGGGCAACGGTGTAATAATGCACAAGATTGCACTTTTTATCCCTGGGTAACTTGTAGTAATTCACATTGTCAAAAATCTGAAAATGAAAAGTGTAGTGCAGACAAGGATTGTAACCCTATCAATTATAGCTTCTGCATCAATGGTGGATGTACTAAACTTGGTCAGCAGTGTTCTGCCGATCGTCAATGTCCTTACCATCCCCAAACAGCATGTGTTAACTCGCGCTGCATAAAAATAGGACAGCCATGCATCAGCGTAAACGAATGTGTGTTCCACCCCTATGTGACTTGTGTGAACTCACTTTGTCAAAAAGCGAGAGAAGAAAGGTGTTACACAGATCAGCAGTGCGATCCTTTCTCATATAATTTCTGCATTGATGGTCGCTGTACTCAATTAGGACAAGACTGCTCAAGCGACAATGAATGCCCGCATCAGCCTCATGCAGTTTGCATCAACTCGCGCTGCATACATCTTGGGCAACCGTGTAAGCATAACATAGATTGTCCAATGTATCCTTTCACGATATGCTTGAATTCACTGTGTCAAAGAGCTGGTAATCAGATATGTACGTTGGATAGAGAATGTAATCCATCAGCGTATTCTTTCTGTATGCGCAGAAAATGCAGAGAACTTGGCCAACCTTGCTCTATCGATACAGACTGTCCATTCTATCCGGTGACAGTGTGCGCTGATAGACGCTGTATTAAGGTCGGACAGCACTGCAGCAATACGCTGGATTGTCCACTTAGTAAACTAATGGTCTGCGAAAACTCGATTTGCCAAAAAAGATCAGGCCCTACTTGTACAAAAGATAACCATTGCAATCCATCAGCATTAAGATTTTGTATAGAACAACGCTGCGTACAACTTGGTCAAGAATGCGATGAAGACGACCAGTGCCCGTTCTACCCTCGCACGGCATGTGTCAACTCTCAATGCATAAAATTGGGACAGCATTGTCGAAGTTCAATAGAATGCCCACTTTATCCCTATACAACATGCTCTCAATCTAGATGTCGAAAACCAGTTGAAAATAGATGTTACTCTGACAACGACTGTAGCCCGCATTCCTATGTCTTCTGTGTTTCTGGACGTTGCAAACGACTTGGCCAAGAATGTACTTACAACAAGCAATGTCCATTCTACCCGCAAACAGCCTGCGTCAACTATAGGTGTATGAAGATTGGTCAGAGGTGTCGCTCAGGACGAGATTGCCCCTTATATCCTCTGACCACCTGCTTGAACTCCGCATGTGTCAAGGCGGATAACAGCTGCAGCATGGATCATGACTGTCCTGCAGAAATGATATGTGTTAGCCATACATGCATGCCCCTTGGCAAAACGTGTGAATCTGACAATGACTGCCCTCCGTCTCCAGACATTTTTTGCATAAGGAGAAGGTGTGCAGTTTTGGGACAGCATTGCACCAAGGATCGGCATTGTCCATTCTATCCAATAACACTCTGTATCAATAGAAAGTGTACGAAAATGCAAAATGAGAGATGCATGTTCGACAAGGAATGTCCTCCGCCAACAGTCTGTATTCTTGGAAAATGCACAAAACTTGGAGAATGCAAAGTTGATTCAGACTGCCCAGCTAAGGAACTTTCTTGCGTGAATTCGACGTGTGTCAGATTAGGAGTGCCTTGCAAGTCTGATAAAGAATGTCACTATCCACATACAGCTTGCATAAACTCCAAATGTGAAAGAATCGGTCAAAATTGCTCAACAGATAGAGATTGTGGAAGCAGCTCTGAATTGTTATGCATTAAGTCGAAATGTAGAAAAGTCCCACATTGCACAAAAGACAGCGAATGTCCACCAGGGAGATACTGTGTGGCTGGAGTCTGTACAGAATTGGGCCAACCATGCGAGAGGGACAGCACCTGTCCAGGCTACCCTGACTATGCCGCTTGCATAGAAGGAAAGTGTGTTAAAGTTGGTCAAAACTGTAAAAAGAATGCGGACTGCCCTCGCACAGAGCTATCTTGTGTCTCTTCAAAATGTATCAAACTTGGATCTTGCAATTCCGACAAAGAATGCCCAGAGACGACTTACTGTATAGCGAACCGATGTATACAAATGGGACAAGGATGTGAACGAGACACTGATTGTCCATACTATCCGAACAGTGCATGTGTTGCAGGAACATGTGTTCGTGCCGGTCAGCCTTGTACAAACGACAACGAATGCTCAAGCCATTTAATGTGCATTTACTCGAAATGTAGACCTGTTGGCGAATTTTGTACAGTAGATACGGATTGCAAGTATTACAATGTGACTGTATGCATCGACTCCAAATGTCTAAAACAGGGGCAGTCGTGCACAACTGATACCGACTGCGCTACACCATTGAAATGCTTGCAGTCAAAGTGTTCAAAACCAAACGACATAATGAGAAATCCGAGAGGATCAGGATGTTCGACAAGCGATGAGTGCCCCGATAATTACATTTGCAAGGATAGAGAGTGTGTTAGAGATGGACACTGCAGCTCAAACAATGATTGCAAAACGAATTATTTGTGCGTTAGTGGCACTTGTGAACTAAGTCAGGGTGAGCGTGCTACGAATCCATCTGTATCGCCTTCAACACCGCCAACAACAACAACAACAACAACAACGACGACGACGACAACGACAACAACAACAACAACGCCAACAACAACAACGACAACAACATTAACAACCAGGCGTTGCAGACGTCGACCATGGCAAGCAGTACCAAATCAGTGTGGATCAGGAGGACAAGGAGGGAGAGGAGGAAGAGGAGGACGAGGAGGAAGAGGAAGAGGACGAGGAGGTCGAACAACGAGAAAAACAACCACCACAGCAGCAACCACAACATCAACAACGCGACAATTATTGTTAGGTGCGTCAAAAAATTCTTCCTATCTCATGAAAGAATTTTTCTGCGGCATACAAATTGTAAAAATCTCCATAATTTGACTAAAAGTTAGGAATGTTTTCTGCTACAATAGTGCTTGTAATTTGTTTAAAAAAAAGAACGTGACGCCCGAAAAGCACATATAGCTTATGGCAATGCGACAAGTTCGGCGTACTCGAACGGCCGCTTCCTCATACAAATTACGAACGGATTGACTATATTAATAAGATCAAATTTGTCTCAAAAGTTAACAAAGCAGAGATAAAATGCAGGTCAGTGAATTATTTTGTCACTATACGTAGAAAAACTGTTTTGCTAATGCGTTAACATGCATTTTGCCAAGCAAGCCGGAAATCCTATGTGTCGCAACAGAGTGTGTTTTCATCGTTTGATCGAGCACCTAAAAGCTAGGAGCTACTCGTACACCGTGCCCTTGATCACTGCCAAGGGCTAATCCACCTTGATATGCACCACTGATAAAAGCTAAACAAATTTGTAAGTCGTCAGAAACGCTAGCAAACTTATCTTCGCTCCTCTAAGGGTTTTTCGCTCAAAATACTTAGTTTCAACAGCTTCTACTATACAGGGAGCCCAAAAAAGTGCACCTTGTTTGGTCGTTGATGAGTCTGTTGCATTAAGGGCAGTGTCCGGGCAATTTGGGAGTTTTGGGATTTTACTGCTAAGCGAAAGTGGCTCTCCTCAGACATAACATCGCGCAAGTGCGAGGTCATAACGCTCGAACTAAAGCAGGGAAACGACCAGAAAGCGTGGAAGTTGCGCATTAGGGCGGGGTCCTCCAACCTGTTCTTCCTGCTAAACGGCAGGGTGCACATGCCGCCACAGTCAAAATCATAGGGTCCCGCAGTGACTCTGCGTCTCAGCCTGGCGGGGACCATCGAATTTCAAATTGTAAGGCTCTGGAGAACGCATGTTCTCGCCGTTTCGCGCCTTCTAATATGGATTTTCGGATTCAGCGTTGCGGATAACCCCCGGTAAGTGGATTTTCCAGAAATCGAGTTTTTCACTGCCTTTAATGTCTTTCGCCAATCTTTGGATGTTTCTTTATAGTGGGCTTCATCCTACATTTACGATAGGGAGCAAATTACTTCATTACTCTTCATTACTGGAATTGCTGTAGGAACTTCCAGCATAGAAATTTGTTATAAAAAAGGCCGTATTTCAAAAAATCTGAAGAATGGTAACAGATTTTTCGTAACTGCTGACTTCGCTAAATTATTTTACGGTTTTCAAGAGTTTTTAAAGGTGTAAGTCATATTTCTGACAAACATTAGGAAAAAATTGTTACGATTTGACTAGATTAGTTCAGGAAAGAACCATTACAGTGAACTGCAATTTTTCATTTGATTAGCGACTTTGATTAGCCTATTATACGATTTTTTGGCATGTTTGGTTTTCTTTCTGTGCCAAAATATGGCTCTCACTGACCTACATCATTCGAAGTTCCTACCGTAATCCTACTGTAATAAAGAGTATGGGCGATTTGTCTCATACTGTAAATCTGAGATCGAAAGAATGGCAGGACTGGCGAAAGATATACCCTCGATATCATCCCATATGTCTTCCCTCAACATGACGTGGATTACGTGGCTTGATGAGGCGCCGCCTCGCCTCGGGCTTGCGCCACGTTGCGTGCGCATCTTCGGCGTGATGTGGCAACAAGAAGAACGTGGAAAAGCCTGCGCCACGTTGTGTTGAGCGCCACGTCGAGCCAAATGATGCGCTCGCAACGTGGCGCAAGCCCGAGGCGAGGCGGCGCCTCATCAAGCCACGTAATCCACGTCATGTTGAGGGAAGACATATGGGATGATATCGAGGGTAAATGCGAGAGGTTTTTAACGAATAAACAGTGTGCGTAATTTTAGAACACCCGTACGTCGGTGGCGCACCCAGAATTTGGGCTTGAGGGGGGGGGGACAAAAATTTTTTTCCAATAAAGGTGCTAGCGTCAGCCACGCACTCTGAAAAATTGTCTGGTATGATCCCTAGAATTTTCGCAGGCTCGTGACTCCGAAATTTCAAAAAGGAAGCATGGCGTCAGCCACGCCCCCGAAGATTTTTTTTCTAAGGCTAAAATGAATTTTTAAAAAGTTTTAAAATTATCTTAATTATTTACAAGTGCAGACCAAAATTTTATAACCCATGTAAGTAACTTTCAAAAATTTCGCGACCCGAGGGCCCCCCCCTCTCGGTGCGTCACTGCTGTAGTGGATCTCTAACAACTGGTTTCTAGCAGATAACAAAATTTTTTTATTTGAGAATCGTTGCCCTTCAATCTAAGCGATGATTGCTTTTATGCGAGCAAATCTGTATATAGAAATCTTAACTCGTGTCTTACAGCGACTGATGCAGCGACTCCTGCGATGAATACTGAGCAAACTCGGTCTTTGGCGCAAGCTCAGTTCCTGACGCAAGCGGGAAAGAAGAAAGTGCTTGAGCTACATAATCGCTACAGGTAAAATAAGGGTAGCCGTTCCTCTTAGTCTGTTTGCACACTACCTGATACGATTCAAAATGTAAAGCAGAATGTCGATTATGTTCACCCATTATTGGAATCTGCGGAAATCGAATTTAGCAGATAGCAGGCTCTAAGAGGGGTAAAGAACATGGGCCGCCAATAGGCTCCACCTGCGCGGGCAGCTGACATGAGCTGTGATGGACAGAAGTGTCGCAGATGTCTGTGCGGGACCTCCTCTTTCGGCTACCTAATGTTCTCTTACCCTCCAAGAAAATCCCAAAACTACAGTAATTTAGGTCTGATGTTGCAACTGGCAGAGTGCAAGGACAAGGTGGAGCTAGGCTACCAACAGCTACTACAATGTTCATTATGGTACAAACCAACATGACTGCTTAGTTTTTTCCTCACTGTATTTGCGTTGCAGCGATACGACGATCAGCTCGCAAACGATGCAGGAGATCATGCTGTTCAATGTACAATGACAGGCTCGGAGCGTTCACAAAGGCCTCGTGACGAAGGAGAAAATTACTACCAAGCTCAAAAAGGTAGAAGTGAAATCGAGATGGTGACAGAGGTATGTTCAAGGAATTTTCCCAAAGAGATCTTTTTCACTAAAAACGTGCCTTCCACAGTGAAAAAAAAAATGACTCAGTGTAGTAGTCGTTTCTCATTCCACTTTCGCTCTAGGAATTGATAGTCTTAGAAGTTGGATAACATATATGGAGCAGTGGACTGACTGGCCTCCGCATAAAATAGAATATTCGGCGCCTTTGAAGGCACCGCTCACCCAAATTCTCGACTTCCGTGTTTTTGTCGCTAGAGGACTTTCTCGGGTATGTGTCAAGATGAACGATAGCTGGTACCAGTGGCGCGCGGGGTTATGAACTGGCAATAATGTATTCGCTCGAAGCTCCGCCCTACTGCGGCGGACGAGTTTCTCGGACGATCCCGTTAAGTAAAAATAACTTTTGATAGTGAGATATATGCTTGTTGCAAATTGGGTGAAGCTTGACTATTTACAAGATCTTGTTTTGATTTTTTTTGGCTGTCACTGAACAGTTGATGTGTTGGTCGTAAAATTCGAGAGATTTGCTCATTTACCTATGAATGACCGTGACTCCTGGATACCCAACTTCGAAGTGTGAAATCATCTAGAACAACTCAGGCATGATTGTTTGAGTGGCCTCACATCTTACGACTAGTTCACACGCAATTTCGATTGAGTTACAGATCGATTTATATTGAGGATAGCAGTTTTTGTAAGCAAAATAAAAAATTTTGATATTTAGAGCAGATTCGAAAATTTAAGAGTGCAGTATGATTTTCCTGAAATCTGAGAAAATTTATGTGATATGACCTCATATTTGCAAAACGAGTTAGTTTGCTTGGAACAAAAGTCGCCTATAATGCTTTTTTTGAATTCTCGTCGCAATGAAATCTGTTTTTAGCTATGTTAGGGTTTTCAAACTTACTTTTCCGATAAAAGAAATAATGGTGTTGGTCATTTCAGCAATAATAATAGTATTTCTCGATAAGCTGACTTCTTTTTGAATTAAATTTGAGAGTGCACAACAAAGTATCATCTTATATATAAAGCTGTATGTCTGTATGTCTGTCTGTATGTGTGTACGTATGTTCCGAATAGAAAATTCCATTTCTGGACCGATCCGGACCAAACTTGGCACACATACACTTCGGGCCCCGGCGGGTGTCATAGGCTACTTTTCGTCATCGATCGATATCGATTTTATCGATTTTTATCGATTTTTTTGCAGAGTTTACCTACGGGGCTGGGAGTTGGCACATGGGGATAATCAAGCATGGGAATTCCGAATACAATATTAGTGTTCAGGATTATCGATTACTTTTGTCGATTTTATCGATTTTTTTACAAAGTTTGAGCTACGGGGCTGGGAGTTTGCACAGGGGGGTAATCGAGCATGGGGATTTCGAATACAATATTAGTTCTCAGGATTATCGATTACTTTTAACGATTTTATCGATTTTTTTGTAAAGTTTGACTACAGTTAGTTACTGCGAGTCTGCAGTAACTGTAAGACTTTTAACTTGGACATCTTTTAAGCCCTGGAGTTCAATGCAGATACATAGCAAAAAGTTAATTACGTGCAAAAGTGGCGTCAAAAAGAGATGACTCAATTGATTGTTGATTTTTGAAAAACTCACTGTAGAGCTGAAAATATTCTAGGGTGGAAATGCAGTGTGCATCTGTTGTTGTTCTAATTAGCCAACATTGCTTCAATAAAACGGACTCAAAATTACACTAACCGTTCACCAAAAAGTAGCTCCACGCTAATTTTACCGGTTTCACATGAAAACCTCGCAGAAGTTGTTTACATCATATTCTTCATGATCAGAATTTTCCGGGGAGGTTCAAAGCAGTTTGAGGCGCTGTTTAGCTCTGAGGACAAGCATGGACGCGCAGACGCGCACGGTACGATATTCATGGGGTGCATAAAGCCAGTACCTGCTGTGGGCGTGCCACACTTTGCCTTCCTTAAGAGAAGATGTTGCTCAAAAACTATAGAGTAGGACCAGTGCGAGCCTCTGCGAAGCAGAGGTGACGCACTGGTATTCAATATGGTAACAGATGCGGATAGGTAAAAACACTTTTCCAAGCATATTCGAAACAACTTCCTCAGACCTGCAAGAAAAAATCATTTTGGACAAGCTTACTAGGAACAAATAATTGAAGTACATTAGAAAGAGCTGGCGAACTAATTTTATATTGAAAAATGATCTGAACTGTTTTCCATTTCAACTGAAATCTTGAAATCTATTGTTATCCAAATTGCAACCAACTGAATAAGCATGAACGAAGTATTAGAAAGTTTTCTAATAGCTGCACGCATTCCTAGGCTTATTAACAAGGGGGCGGAGCGATCAGCGCACCGTGTACGGTACCCAGCTGGCGGCTGGCACATGCTATCGTTCATCTTGACTGCCACCCGACTTTCTCATGTCCCTGATTCCGAATATCAAATCGAGAATCCGCGAAAACCCCGACAATCCGCGTTCCTCAGAACTCGGAGGGCGAGTTCTCCAGAATGGATTGCTTGGGTGCGCACTCGCACGGATGGGCGGGACAAACGCCCATTAAAGGGGAGAAGCTAACTTCAGGGCCGGCATGAGTTCGTTTCTAGCTTTCGTGCTTTTTAGAAACAAAGCCCCCTCCTCCCTTAATTTTCGCAAATTTTTACGAAGTCGCCTGACCCTTATCGGACACGTCGACTAAAAACCCCTAAACTAATTTGCATCTTTAAGAACCTAGGAAACGATATCCCCCTTGCTTTTTCGCCCCGAAAGCGAAGTTCAGCCTGCTTCCAAATGATCTGTGCAGGGCCTGGCTAGGAAGCAAATCGTCATCCGAAGCGTTTTGAAGCTTTTCTAGCTTCGAATGCAACTTTTGATAGCGTGACTTGGGTATCATCAACATCTCATCGACCCCATTTTTGGTGGACGATGCCATTGATACCCTCTGCAGATGTGAGCCAAATGCATTCTACTTCGTGCTCGAAAAAGCTATAAAATGCATCTTAACCTTCGCAATGACTTGCAAAGTTCAGCAGATAACCAGTTCAGCGCTGCAACCCTCCCAAATCGTTTTTTTACTACTTCACCGTCTCCGCGAGTGCTAGGTCGGCTCAGGAGAAGGACAGGTCCAGTTATCTTACCGAGTCATAGCGGCGCCTCATACAGTACGCCATTCCTCTTCAATGGTTCACGCTGAACCCCATCATTACATTGTAGGTTACAGACGGCTATTCCTAGTTTCACCTCTCAACTATTCGAAGGCAGCAAGCAGGAATTTCAATATCTGGGATTTCATGTAAACACTGATGAAGGCAGTGACTAAGCGCTTATCCTAGGGGTAGCTCCTAAGATTTTCTACGGCTTCATCATTCGAATGTCACATTCAGCCGGATTAGTTCATACCGTACTCAAAGTCAGTGGGTCAGCGAAATGGAACCCTGTCAGATTTTGATAGTTTCAGATAGTAGGTCCCCCGCCTAATACAACGTACACCGGAACTCCAACCCCATCCTTCAATTCATGCGCTAAGTTCGGAAAAAGCGCCGAAACTCCACCAATGACGCCCACTCAATGGAAGTGGGCGAAGGTGGAATTTTGAAGCTCCTTTACCAGGACTCAGCGCATGAATTGGAGGATGGGGTTGGGGTTACGGTGTACTAGGGGGGTCTACTATCTAACACTACCATATCTGACAGGGGTTTTTGCCGATTCACTGCCTTTCAAGACATTGATTGTCTCGCAAAGTACGGTTTAAGACTGAGCCGAGAATTTAATTTCTCAGCGATGAATAAACCGTATGAGCTGTAACTTCGGCAGTGGCTTAGCTGAGACCCCTCAAAAGATTCTACATAAAAAGTTTAGAAACTCAGATTGTCTAGGCACTGTTTTTGAGCAAATCATTGCGATAATCTGCCAGCTGACACCTATAAGTATGCTTGTCCATCTTGCCCCTCGATCGCAAACGAAGGCGAAAGCCACAGAACATATAGGGCAATGTTGTTGTAATTAATCTCTTGCGGGAGACTCCTATATCTGAAACCGAGAGAGAGAAAAGAACATCTTTTTAGGCTGTAAATAGTTGGTATAATGCAGCAAGTACTTATGGTATGCCAACCAACGTTATATATCACGATTCTTTTGGGACGCAACTAAAATTCTTCACACAGGTAACTCTCAGAACTAATCAAAATCAACTAGAAATAACATTACGTTTTAGCTAGCAAGTGCATGGACCTACAAAATCGGATGCGCATACGCCGACTGCGGTTACTCATATTTCTTAGTATGCAGATACTTCCCCAAGTGAGCTTAATTCTTCAAGATTTAGTAGAATTTCACAATTCCGCTTTTCCAGTGGTAACCATGAGGGTAAAATTCTTTATCCTTCTGGAAGTCCGGCGGTATCGTGTTCAAATGGAAAAGCCTACGAATACAATAATCTCTGTGTGGGCCCCCAATGAAGTTTTAACGGAGAGTAAAATAAAATTTGATAAAAATGTGGAATCTGCATATTCACTTCCATATTAGAGATTCAAGAAATTATAACTTTGAGCTAGACAACAAAGATTCAACCAAAATTTAAAGAAATTCAGGAGAACAAACAAATCATGCACACTCTCTTTCAAATACTAAAAAGATTCTTCTCTCAAAATTACGAGAAATCTGCTGACGTTGAACTTTGATGTTTGTAAGCCATATAAAAACACTTGAACACATAATGAGTGGACAATTTACTTAGATATGAGGTCGTTGACGCAATCTAAACCTGAGGTAAACCTTATGACTACTCTTGAGCAAACCCTGATTGTAATTCCCAGTAAAACTTACTGTTCATGCAAAAACAACGGAATATTCATCGTTCTCTGTTGAAACGCAAGGACCAACTCGCAGCAAAATGTTCTAATCAGCGTACTTCCCTCCCCCCCCCCCCCCCCCTCCCGCCCCGGATGGCGAAATTCCTCGCGAGAGCTAATAGGTATAGGGCACTTGAAAAATCGTGACGATGGCGCGGCAGGGCGCGACACGCACGCCGCTTCCGAAAATCGCATTTTCTTGGCTTTCACCTCTAGTCGAATGGTTTTTTTGCTTGGATATGTATTTTAATATCTAGACACTGGAAGTGATTAAGCTCAACATTAAGGTGATGTCTTCTTGTATGAGCGTTTTATGCTCTTCTGGGCGCAAAATCCGCAGTAAAATCCGTCGTCACAATTTTATAAATTAAATAAACTCTCTAACCACTGTCATGGCATTTTCGTTCTGAAACTATTTTTGATAAGCTTTTGAAAATCTTGTATCTGCTTTAGATTGGGTTTCATTTTGCTAAAACATAGAAATTCAGTCTTTGTTTTTTGTGAATATCTGTCACATTTGGTCTTTCTAATGTTCCTGAGCGTATGTATGCGTTTCCTCAGAATGTGCACAAAATTCATGATTTACCTTACATGACCAGACTTCAGACTCTTATTTTACTCTTCTATGTGTCTTTAATATGCGTACCAATCTGCAGCAGTCTCGCTACCGTTAAACATAAACTCACTGGTACGAATAAGCCCTAGAGCGACGTTTAACACATTCATGACAAAGCCGATTTTTCAATTACTGCCGTTTCGGACCAGAGTCTTTTTCGCTTTGTCAAACTTACGACACACCCGTGGGTCGTATTGTCCGAAATGGTAGTCTTTTTGGAAGAATTTCAAAACATGTTTCCGAGAATTTCCCCCACAGGGTTAACGAAGGCGCTGATTACCAAACTATGATTTATGTTTTTGGCAGTATACGGTAAGGTTACGGTAGTCATTCTGTGGGAGCCCAGCATCACGGATTTTCATGAAGAATTGCGTTTTGGCGTTATTTCACATGCTGATTACGAGTGTTACAATTGTAGTGTCCATTTTGTTTACTACTATCCCACAATGGGACTACGGTGGCAGTACGGTGAAATTTTCGTAAAAACTAAGAAACTGATGTAAGGAGGTGATACTAGAACTTGAGACCATCATTTTCGTAACCAGCATGCTTAAAGGCGCCGTCCACCCTAAATTGGGGGTTCTGAGTTTTTGGCAGTATATGATAGTTGGGCCTCCTATTAAGCCAGTGCCCAATTCGCGGCGCAAAATGTCGCTTCGGAAGCGAGAAAAGCGCTTTGGAATAACGAAGATGCACGAGGATCCCCATCCATGCCCGCCCATTTGTGCGCGCCCATTCAAGAAAGGCCGACCTGTGGGTTCTCCGGAACGGGGACTGTCGGAGTTTTCGCGGACTCTCAACTTCATATTCGGAATCATCGACATGAGAAAGCCCTGAAACGACATAAATCTGGAAGTCGAAAATCTGGTTGGACGGTGCCTTTAAAAACCTTTATAGTAAAGTTTGAGCTTCCTGGTACGAACAATGCAACAGTACGAAAAATCAATAAAATTAATAAAATCGATATTTTTGATTGGCTGACATCAGTCTCGTGTTCTCCCTGTATTCCTCGTGCATGTACCCTCGATATCATCCCATATGTCTTCCCTCAACATGACGTGGATTACGTGGCTTGATGAGGCGCCGCCTCGCCTCGGCCCCGCGCCACGTTGCGAGCGCATCATTTGGCGCGACGTGGCGCTCAACACAACGTGGCGCAGGCTTTTCCACGTTCTTCTTGTTGCCACATCACGCCGAAGATGCGCACGCAACGTGGCGCAAGCCCGAGGCGAGGCGGCGCCTCATCAAGCCACGTAATTCACGTCATGTTGAGGGAAGACATATGGGATGATATCGAGGGTAAACTTGAATTTTCAAAAACAGCATCACTCTGCGAAAAATTTGAGCTAAAGTCTATGCCTTACCTCTATCTACGGTATACTACCGTAACATTACTTTACAGTATCCCGAAACCGGACCACTATGGCAGGAGCTTCGCCAAGGTGTCCCCAATCATGTGCCAGAACCCCGTAGAATTCCATTGTATACTGGCAAAACTAGAGCTTCAGGAATCTTACGACCCACCGGTGGGTGGTATTGTCCGAAACGGCAGAATACGTACGACCCACCGATGGATCGTATTGTCGTGAATGTGTTAACAAACTTCTTTCAATTCTGCAGCGCAAAACCATTCAGTCTGTTGACTTGTTTTGCGATGGACGATAAACTAAAAAAAGGTTTGACTAAATCTTAACTTTATGTTAGGCCTTATAGATTCTTGAGATAGCATGCAAAATTTTCGAGGTATATTTTTATGAGCTTTGCCTTCCTGAAGGCAGGTTCACCCATTTTAACTCTCGTGATTAATTGTTACAGGGTCTTGCCGTGGCCCTGATTTCGTTTATGAGGCGTAATACAGTAAAGTTCCAAAACTGCCTCTTTTTAGCCCTATTTTGGCAGATATGGACGAGTTCTCCGGCACTAGCCACATACAGCAGTGTCACATCACACAGTATGCGTGTTGACGTTGATCGCCATGTCAGAACGCTTCATCGGGCAATCCGTGTGTGGGTGGAGCGCAAAAAAGGGGCGGAACGCAAAAAGGTTCCTGTCCGTTTTTTCTCCTTTTGTAGGCAACATGAGGGGATAAATGCACATGGACGAGCATGCTCAAAGATTAAGCAGTGATCTGGGATGCATGATTCTTTGGATGCCGGTTATAAAGGTGCATAGAATTTGTGATGATGCACTGTCAAATGGTTAAAAAGAAATAGATCTTGTGCATGCTTATGGAAATTACATGGTTGACAAATAAATGACCTGACTCCGAGACATTTCTTAGAACTCCGATGCCCTGCACAATAGATATACCCTTTATTTAATTCTAGAACTCAAATGTAAATTTCATGGAAAAACTAGCCTCAGTTTTGGATGAAATTGAATGATTTCAAGGCGTTACGAGAATTGAAGCTTTGCCGTCGAAAGGCCAAATAAATTGAAGTAGACGCCAACCGCTTATATATACTTTTCTTGACAGGTCTCCGCTTGACTTGACAGGAAAATTCAAGTAAGCTTCAAAGTTTCATTCAACCGTATCATACCCAACGATACATTTGCTTATTTTGCATGGCAGTTTCATTAAAAAGTTTGAACCAATCATAGAATTAAACAAAGGCAAACTGCGGAGTGTCAGATTTTATATTGAAATCTAACAAAGCACTCGACTGATGCTCGAAGAGAGCTGAAGATATAAGGGTCGTTACGGCGGTGCTGTGAGGGGAGATCATCCGATAAATCAATGAAGATAAAACCGAAATTGTATTGAAAAGAGCTTGTTTGGAGCTTTTAATTGATTAAATGAAAGAATTGGTTTTGCGCAAACTATCCTTTGATTCAGATGGCTTGGCGGCTGGAGGGCGGGGCTTTGTGACTTAATTAAGGCTAGGTAATGAGAGAGTGAGCACGCTCGTGGGAGAGACACAACAACGTCGCGGACGCAGGCGGCCTTAATTAGGTTACAAATCCCCACCTTCTAGAAGCCAAGCTAGTTGAATCTAAGGTAACATTACGGTGTATTAAAAAGCCCCAACTTGAAGCACAAAAAGTATAATTTCGGCTAATTCTACATTATGTATTTGACGTCTTCCTTAAATTATTTGATTCTGATATACTAAATCTGATTCTGAGAATACGAAGCCCGATTTTATTGTTAGTGTACATAAAATGAAAGGAACACTCAAAAAAAAAAGATTTATTGGTGAACCACTGACATAAATTTCAAGATTTCAGGAAAACCAATATTTTTATTCCAAATTATTTTCGCTTGTTTGCAGCTGGAAGGTGTGAAACACGCTTTTGCAAAAATTTTTAGCTAAGAAAGGCCTGCAAAGAAATTTTTTCGTTGCTAGAGAAGTCGATCGAAATGTGGTTTCTTTTTTGAAACTGCGTCAAAACCGCTAAAACGCCTGCGATTAACTATGGAAACCAGGGTTGCTTGCTTTTTTGAAGCATTTGTACTCTTTAAAAATTTCTTTTTAATTCGGTAAGATTTGACTCTTTTTAAAGGCAGCGTCCCGGCAAAAAGATGGGTGCCGGCTTTTGTGGCAGTGTTAAAGTAGACCCCCTACCGAAGCGATGACTGAAGTTCGGAGCAAAAAAGGGGGTGTACTAAGCCTGAAATTTGCTCCGAAAGTGTGGCTCGGATCCTACGGTAGACCCGGACGCCGCCCACACGGCGATTTCGAACTGCAAGGCCAGAGCACGCATAGTGCACACAGTTATGAGCACAGGGTCCCGCAAAGACTTTGCGTCTCTACGTTGCATGCATCTCGTACTCGCCCGAGCCTATCGTAAGATCCGGGCCACTTGGGGGAAGATCTGTAGACCTCGTAGACCCCCTTCGGCGCTGCAAACTTCTGTTGTCGCTCAGTTGAGGGTCCACCATTACATTATTGCCAGAGCCAGGTATCCCCCATTCTGGTGGGACGCTGCCTTTGAGAGAAGTAAATCATTCTGCTTTCCCTCTTCTAAGCGAATTCTTAGAGAGTAAAAAGCAGCAAATGAAAATTCACATAGAACTGTGATTACCGATACAAATCATGTTTAGATAAGGCCTGCTACCTAGTAGGAATATATCATGTTCGTTTTTTGCATTGTC